TTTAGGAGTTCCCTATACCAATGAAATCACAAGCCAATAGATGGTACAGTGGATAGAGAGCTGGGCCTGGAGTCAGGAAGACCTTCATTCCAATCCTGCCTAGATATTTACTAGCTATGGGCAAATCATATAGCAACTTTCTGCCTCAGTTTCCTCAACTGTAAAATGGGGAATAATAATAGCACTTAACCTCCTCCTGGGCAAATCACTTAACCTCTGTCTGTCTCAGTTTCTTGGACTGTAAGATGGAGATAATAGCACTACCTCCCAGGATTACTGTGAGGATCAAATGAGATAATATTTGTAAAGTGCTTAGCACAGTGCCTGGCACATGGTGAGCCCTTAATAAATGCTTGTCACCTTCCCTATTCCAGATCCCTGTAGTATTTACCTCATAGCATTGTGATGAAGCTCAGATGAGATAACATGACATAAAACACTTTGTAAACATTAAGATGCTATATATAATAGATAACTATTAGAATTATTATTCTTTATAATGTATAATTATAATTATGTTCTTTATAATCTTATTATTCAAATGAAGTAACATTTATAAAGCAACTGACACAAAGTAGGCACTTAATAAAAGCTTGTTCTCTTCCCTTCCCCCTTACTCTTAGCTGTGGGTCTGTATCATCCCATGGTGTGGTACCTAAAAGCTCACTTCCTTAGGAATTGGGAGACCTGGGTTTTAGCTGTGACTCCCAGTACCTGCCTGGGTAACCTTGGGCAAGTCCCTTTGCTTTCTCTGGGTCTCATTTTCCTCCCCGTCCAATGAGGGTTTGGACCAGATGTCCTCCAAGGGCCCTTCCTGTTCTTACCATTCTATGCTCTAAGGTGCCTTCTGGCTCCATTGTTCAAGGAGTCTATGATCCCATACCCTCTAGTCCTACAACCTAAAGAGACAGTGTAGTACCGTGGCTAGAGGCTGAACCTGGCACAGAGGGCTTCAGTTTAGATCCTGCTTCTGACTCCTACACTTGCAGTGTGACACCCAGCCCAACTTCTGTTCACCAGAGACAACTCCCCGGGTGTTATCTGCTGAATCACAGCAGGGTGGCAATCTGTGTTGGTGGAAGGAATTCCCACACCAGGAGTTTCTATGTAGCTGTACATTCTTACTCCCCGGGGAACCTTAAAGTCTCAGAGGTTCAGTGTCCTTACCTGTAAAATAAGTGAGTTGGAAGAGACAAAGTCTAGGGTCCCTCCACTTCTGTGGGGTATGATCCTATGATCTTGGGTCACCAGTCAGTCAGTATTTATGTTACTACGTACCCGGCATTCTAAGTGCTAGGGAAAGAAAGGCAAAAACCTAGACCCTGCCCTCAAGGAGTTCACATTCTAATTGAAAGCACTTTGTACAGCCTGGCCCATTGTAAGTGCTATATGAATGTTAGATGTAATAATAATAATAACTAGCATATTAATGGAGGAGACAACATGATTATGGAGGAGGGGATGCTCAGCAGCACTTGATTTGCAGCACGGAGAATTCTTAGACACCCTCAGAACTAGGGAAATTCTGGAAATGTAAGAGAAGAGGAAAGAAAGAGCCCTTTACAAGGTGGATGGATCTATCTATCAGGGATTCTTAGGCAAGGCATCCCCACCAAAGAGTTGTCCAGATCTCCATGACTCTGGTGTCCCTCTGAGCCATCCCATTCAGGGGTAAGAAGGAAGCAGGGTGAGGGGAAAGAATGAGACCTAAGGAAGTTTTGGGGGGAAAGCAATTCACCCCATTCTTAGTGGATAGAGTGCTGGACATGGAGTTAGGAAGACCTGACTTCAAATTCTGCCTCAAACACCTACTACTAGCTGTGTAGTCCTGGATGAGTCACTGACCCTCTGCTTCATCTATAAAATGAGGATAATTAGAGCGCCTACCTTCCAGGCTTTTTGAGAGGATCTGATGAGATAAAGATGGAAAGTAAACCTTGAGGTTTTATCATTTTCATAAGTCACTGATTCACCAGCATCACCACTGGCAGATCATATCTGTGCTCTCCAGGGAGTTTGTCCAGCCCAGAATCCTGTTCTACCAGCCATAGCTAAAGAAATAGGAGGGCTTCCCTAATCTTTGTCCTTGGGCCAGACTCAACCAGCCCAACCCTATGCAACTGACAGCCCCACTGGGGTAGAAAATTAATGACACCCCTCAAACTTTCCCCAAATTTCATAGACCATTGGAACTGGATAGAGTCTTAGAGGCAATCTTAGATAACCTCATTTTACAGCAGGACGAGGTCAGGTAGGGATGAGAGGGGAGGAAATGGAGCAGATTCATAGAGTAGGGGTGGCATGCTGGGGAGCGACCCACAGCAAATGAAGGCTCTATTCTTATTCTTATTAGTTATTATTCACACTGCTCTAATGTTTGAAAGTTGTTAAGATTATGAAGAAAGTGCTTTCTTCATAATGACTCTGAGAGAAAGATAGTGAGATTATTATTTTTCCCATTTTATAGATAAGGAAAGTAAGACTTAGAAAGGCTAAGTGATTTGCCCAGAAATCTTTAACCCAGAACTTGAACCATACCTCAGTTTCCCCATTTGCAAAATGAGGGGGTTGGATTAGTTGACCCTTAAGGCCCTTGCTGTGATCCCTCTGTCTCTGTGGTTCACCCCCACCCCCAGCACTGCAGGGCCTTCAGAGGAAGCTCAGAAGCTGCCAAGTAATCCCTTGAGTAGTCTTCAGGGCAAGAAAGGCCCCTCACACAATGAAGAAATCTGCTCAAGGTCAGGGCCGGGGATGTGGGGGGACGCCTGAGGTACTTTCCTGATGGCTATTTTAAACTGGCTGAGGAAACCGGGTCTCACAGTTGGATAGCTAAAGTACCTTTCCCACCTACTCCTGACCCCATAACTACCCTCCCTCTTGCCTCTCCGAGCCCCCCAGACCTTTCCTCCACAGCCTAACTGATAAGTGGTCACATCCCACTTATCAATGCCCTTCCTAAAATGGGGTATCCAGAAGAAAACAGGCACCAGATGTGGTCTGAACAGATGCCTATTGGCTGTGTGAACCTGGGCAACTCACTTAACCCTGTTTGCCTCAGTTTCCTCATCTGTAAAATGAGGATAATAACAGCACCTATCTCTCAGGGTTGTTGTGAGGGTCAAATGAGAGAATGATTGTAAAGTGCTTAGCACAGTGCCTGGCACATAGTAAGTGCTATGTAAATATTAGCTGTTATTATTGTTAGCTATTATTTTCTAAAATTCTATGATTCTAGACTTTCCATAGAGGTGGGAAAAGGAAGTAACCCTCCTACATCACCCCCATCTCCATTTCCATAGCAGTCAATGGGTGTAGGATGTTCTTTCCTCACAAGGACCCTGTGGGGCAGGGAGTACAAGGATCCCTACCCGAATTTTATAGGTAAGGAGCCAGAAGCTTAAAGAAATGACAGTAACTTGCCCCTGGTCACACAGCTAGTGGGTTCCAAGCTAGAACATAGAACCAAGTTGGTCTTCTGACTCCCTACCCAGTGGAAGGACTTGAGGCCTGAACCGCTCACCCCACCCAGCCCATCTGTAGCCTGGCATGAGAGGGATGCTCCGATCTTTGTCCTTGGGCCAGACACAACCAGCCCAACCCTATGCAACCAAGAGCCCCACTGGGGTAGAAGATTAATGATGCCTCGCAAACTTTCCCCGAATTTCATAGACCATTGGATGGAATCTTAGACAACCTCATTTTACAGCAGGGCAAGGTCAGGCAGGGGGTTACAGGACAGCCTTGAAGGGAGCTGTGTTCTGTTCAAAATCCTTTCCTCTTCCTTACTTCATTTGACCCTCCTAACAGCCGCATGAGGCAGGTAGGCAGGGCAGGGATTATTATGCCTATTTTACAGATGAGAAAACTGAGATCCGGAGTACAAAAGCTACTTTATGCTAGGTTCCAAAGTGCCTAAACCTGGGACCTAAGTCTTCTGAGTCCCAAGCTTGAGCTCTTTCTCCCATACCCTCTGGACAAGGCTGCTCCTGGCTCCCAGGTGTAGATGGTGTCAGGTGCTTGGGGTACTGAAGGCCAAGAGAGGAAGAAAGGCGCAGGGGCAGCAACTGGAAGATGGAAATTCCTAACATATGCCCCACACCATGGTGCAATGGAAAAGATGCTACATTTAGAATCTGAGGTCCTGGGTTCAAGTGTGGCCTCTGCTTCTTACTATCTGTATAGCCTTAAGCAAGTCATTTACCCTAGACCTAGGATTATCTCTGTGCAGTTACTGCCATTGCAGGGGGTGAGAGGTGGGAGGGAAGAGAGTGAGTGACTGAAGTTGTGCAAGGGACCTTTAGGGGTTGTCAGAAAGTCAGCAGTGGATGTGGCATAAAGAAGCTGGAGCCTGGCCTGGGTCCTGTGGACATAGCAGCGTGGAAGAAGTTTGTTGTGCTGAGTGTATATTCTGTGTGGGAGGAGAGAGTGATGAGGAGAGACAGTAGCCACAGCTTTATAAGGGAGTGTCCCTTACAGGGGAAAGGGAGAGCTGCTGAGAGCAGAGATTGACCCCAGGGGCAGAACATTCAGGAATAATACTCTGGCCGAGGAGCTTAAGAGCAGGTGAGTGCAGGGACTGGCTATAGAGATTCTGTCCCTGTAGAGGCATGACGATGTGTGCTCTGTGGTTCTGTGACCTGGCTGCTTATGGCCGCCGTGCATTAAAGTAATTAAGTATAAATCAGAATGATGTGAGTGGCAATGAAAAACTGGACTATCAGATTTTTATCTAGTACAACCTAACTGAATTATCATCGGCTGAACTCCCCTGTGGCATTCTGTTTCAGAAGGATGGTGCCCTGGGTGGGGAGGGAGGGGTCCTGAGCAACCTAACTGATGGTTACTGAGGGAATGGGAGACAGGTGGACAGGAAGTAGAGTCCTGGAATTGGCTGACCTCTTAGGACCGGAATGGTTTCTTCTTCCTCTCTTCATTTCCCCTCTGACCTCCAGCATCCCCCAGGGTCCAGTTGGGGGAATGGGAAGGAAGAGAAACGTGATAGATACCAAGCCAAGACCAGAGCTGGTGTTCAGAGAAAGGGGAAAACAATTGTGTCAGGCGGGGAACTGAGCCTGTCTATCGATCCAACACCCCTTCCCATCCTTCTCTGGCATCCTTTAGCCCAGCTGAGCACCACAAAGACCTTGGGAGCCCTGCTGCCGTCCCGTCTCTCACGCTGCCACAGTTAGGAGACAACCTTCAGGTCCCTTGGTCCCACTGTCCACACCACCACCATCAGGAGCACAAAGCTGGGCTACCAGGGCTGTCCTGTTGGGATGAGGGTCTTTATCACCATCTTGTTGGCTGCTCTGCTATGCCTGGATCAAGGTGAGTGAGGGGTCTGGTACTAGAGGAGGGGGTGATGGATATGAAGAAGCCTGCCCTCATTTGAGGGGAAGAACAGAGAGCAGAGCCATTAGAGAGGGCAGAAGGGACCCTACATCTCCCTCAGGAGTGAGCAAAATTGCCCCCCAGTCAGGGGGCAGATGCGGAAAGGTAGCCTGGGAGAGGGGGGCTAGGGCTTCCAACTGGAAAGCTTCCAGGAGGACCAGGAGAGCTGAAGTGGTCATCAGAGAACCTATTTAGAGTTAGACCAGCCTGTAGGAACCACAGTGTAGTTGAAATAAGTGATGCATTTGAAAGTCAGAGGACTTGAATTCAAATCCCAGTTCTGCCACTGATCTTTGACAAATCACCTCTCTGGTCCTCAGTTTCCTTTACGGTAAAAAGGAGGGGGTTGGATTTTAGGACCTCTAAGGTACCTTCTGTCTCTAAATACAAGATGCTCCAAAGGTCTTAAGCCATGAAAGCTTAATAGCAGGACACTATGATCCTCTGAGTCTGATGCTGAGTTTTGAAAGCCGAGAGGAAGGCTATGAATTCGCTTATGCAGTGAATCAGCAGCAGAAACAATGCTTGAACTTCCCAACTCTGAATTCAATACCTTTTTTACTATGACTGTGTTAGGGCTAGATTGTAAGGGGCCTCAAATGCCAGGCAGAGGATTGTTCAAGCCATGGGGAGTCCTCAGATATTCTGGAGCTGTGAAGAGACTAGAGAGAAGGGGAACTTACAGGTAACAGTGTGGATAAAGGCCCCACTAGAGACCCCAAACCTAATTTCCCTGGGAATGCCTCACCTCTGAGACTTGGATTTCTCACTTTGGGACAGGGAGTGAACAGAAGGAGATAAAGTCGGTAGATGAAAGCAGAGAAGAGGATTATGACTATAAGGATGATGATGACGAAGAGGATGATGATGAAGTCGAAATCAAGCACATTCCCTATGAAGGTACAAATCTGTCCCAAATCCTTCCTGCCCCACCCCAGCCCATTCCCCCAGGACCTGGTGGAGCTTATAGCCTAACAGTGGAATAAGACGCATGCAAAGATAACTATAATATACATGATCAGGGCATTAGAGGGGTACAGAGAAGAGCTATGTGTGGTCTACAGAGGTTGGGGGAGGGGTGAGGAAGGAGGGAAGGCTTCCTGGAGGAGGTCACGTTTAATACCTTCACCATCTGTCCTAGGCCATCTCTGTTTATCATAGGATTTGAGAGGGGATGCATATGAATTCGACAAGCAAAACCAGGGAGGACTTTCCAATATGAGAAATAGCCTAAGCAAAGGTCCAGAGTCAAGAGGGTGCTGGGTGTCATTTAGTTCAATTGGTCTGGAGCAGAGAGTACCTGATACATAGAGTGGCGTGAGCCGCTTGGCAGAGCTGGAACAAACATTAGGTGAATGGAGTTTTACCTCAGGGTGCTGTCTTTGATGGGAGGTGGGGAAGGGGAAGGCCTTCTGCCCTGGAAAGGTAACCATCAATACTTTCCCACCCACTGAAACAACCACTCTCCCCGTACAGAGACTCACAGTCCTTCAGAGGCACCGGGCACAGCTCCTGCCACCCATCCACCCCACCCCACCATCCCTAGGGTCCTAATACTGTGGCACTCGTACCCAGGGGCTGCCTTTCATGAGAGCGAAGGCTGAGACCCTGATGGGCAGATGGGTGGATGCTTCCTTCCTCCACCCCAGGTGAGACTAGAGAGCTAGGGTGGGGACAGATAGAGAATATAAAAGTTCATGCTAAGCCCCAGTAGGTAGTTTACTCAATGCCTACTGTGTGCAAAGCCCCATGGGCACCTGGCTGAGGAAGGGAGGGGACTAGGGAGCTTCAGTGTCCTTTTCAGTCAGTCAGCCAGTATCAAGTACTTATTAAGCATCAACCCCGTGCCAGGCGCTGTGCTAAGTGCCAAGGATGCAAAGAAAGACAAAAAGCATTCCTGCTTTTAAGAAACTTACATTCTACAGGGAAAATATGAATAACTAGGTACTTGCAAGATAGACGCAGAATAGATGGAAGATCACGTCAGAGGAAAAGGAACTACTCAGCAAGCATTTACTGAGTAGTACTGTCATACTGAGGATGCTGGGAGAGGCTCCTTGCCCTCGTGTCTGGTAGGAGAGACAAGACTACCCATACAACTATCCACATATATCTACCCAGACATAGCTACACACACATCACACCCAAGGCAGGGTGTGATACAGATCACTGAGAGGCAGTTAGTTGGCATGGTGGGTACAGGTGAGTTCAGGGCAGCTAGGTAGTACAGTGGATAGAGCACTGGCCCTGGAGTCAAGAAGGACCTGAGTTCAATTCCAGACTCAGACAATTGACACTTACTAGCTGTGTGACCCTGGGCAAGTCACTTAACCCCATTGCCTCTCCCTCCCCACCACCCTGCAAAAAAAAAAAAAAAAAAAAAAAAAACCCGAATTCAAATGCAGCCCCACTTATCAACTCTGTGACCCCAGGCAAGTCACTTTACTTCTGTCTGCCTCAGTTTCTCCATCTGTAAAATTAGGATAATAATAGCACCTACCTCTTAGGGTCCTTGTGAAGATAAAATAAGATAATATTGATGGTGCTTTGCAACCCTTAAAGCACTACGTAAATGCTTTTGTTGTCGTTTAGTTATTCAGTCATGCCCGACTCTTCGGGACCCTTTTTTGGTGTTTTCTTGGCAAGATCCTGGAGTGGTTTGCTATTTCCTTCTCCAGCTCACTTTACAGAGAAGGCAAGTGAGGCAAATAGGGTTAAGTGACTTGCCCAGGGTCACACAGCTAGTAAGTGTCTGAAGCAGGATTTGAACTGAGGTCTTCCTGACTCTGGGCTGGGTACTCTATACATTGTGCCACCTTATCTGCCCATGTAAATGCAGCTATCATTATTTATTATTATTATTATTATTATTATTAAAGGGACACACAGTGCTAAGGAGTGGGAGAGCTAGTCATGGAGTTACTTCCTGCTGGAGAGATTTGGGGAGGCTTTCTGGAAGATGTTCATTAGATCAAGGGTTCTTAACCTGGGGTCCATAAACTTTTTTTGGTTGTTTTTTTTAACTAACTCCCTTTGAAATTCTATGTTAATTCTATGCATTTAAAACCATTATTCTGAGGAGGGGTCCATAGGCTTCACCAGGCCACCAGAGAAGTCCAGGACATAAAAAAAGATTGAAAACCCCTGGTGAAAGGATAGGAACCATTTGGTTAGCTGAGGAAAGCAGGGATGTGAGGCCAGTCCTGTGAGCCCTGGGCTAGGGGAGAAAAGAGGAAGAGACAGTCCCTGCCCTCAGGAGCTAGCAGTTGAGATGGGAAAATGAGACAAAGACACTGTTAGTTATAATATAAAGCAATACAAGGTTAGGACCATCTGAGGAAGCACCAGACACTGAGTTGGAGAGGTTCAGAAGAAAGAGAAACAGCTTCCTAATGGGGGTTGGGGTGTCAGGAAGGTTTCCTGATCATGGCATTTGACCTGGGCCTGCAAGGAGCAGTGGGATTTGAGTAGGTAGGGATGGTACTGTCTGTGGTAGGGCAAGGAAGAGAAGAAGATTGTGGGAAGAGGGTAGACCAGAAGAAATTCCATTCAATGTCCAAATGAGTATGGGCAACAGGAGCTTAGAAAAGAGAAAAATGAGCAGAGGGCAGTGTAGTCAGGGAAGGCTTCCAGCAATTGAAAGTTTGCAGAGCCCTTCTCTCGTTGCAAATACTATGATGCCCATTTTACCGAGGAGAAAACTAAAGCTCAGAAAAATTAAGAGCCTTACACAGTCACACAGCTCATAAGGGTCAGTGCTGGGACTCTTTTGTCTCCAGCTCCAGTGTACTTTCTACTAAATGACACCACTTTTCCACCAAAAAAAAGAGGGGAAATCTTTTCATAAAGGAGAGGAGCAGGCAGAGAAAGCCCCCATGGTATAATAGGTAGAGTCAGGAAAATCTGGGTTCAAATCTTGCCTCAGATCACACTGGCTGTGTGACCCTAGACCTAGCTTCCTCAACTGTAATATGAGGGGGATTGATCTAGACGACCTCCAAGGTCCCTTCCAGCTCTAAATCTTTGATCCTTCAAGACAAGAGGAACTTGAACCTCATCTGGAGGAAGAAAAAGTGTCCTCCTTCCTCGTGACAGCAAGGCTCTGAGCCTCTGGGCACTGTCCTAGGACTGTCCTAAGTCCTGGCAGTGAATGGGGTTAAGCATTTGGCTGGCTCCCAGCTGGTTGACTCCCAGGGCCCATTGTCTTCCTTTCCCCTCTGTTCTGGGGAAAGCTCTGTTCTGATGTTATCTGCAGGCCCCTGTACTTCTTCAGTTCAATTGAATTCAACAAACAAACAGTATTAAATGCCTGCTGTGTGAAAGGCCTTGTGATTACCTGTTGAACTTTACCCTCTAACCTATCTCCTGGTTTTAGCATTTCTGGAATATCTTTATCAAGAAATGATGTGTTTTAGTTTAATCTTTGCGCATATCCTATTTCCCAGTTAGACTGAGAGCTCCATAAGAAGAGGGACAATTTCTTGTCTAAACTTTGCAACTCCCGTCAGATAGTGCTCTGTAATAAATGCTTGGGGAATGATTTGGGTCCTGGTTTGGTTTTTTTTTTTTTTTTCAATCTAATGGGAGGACAGATATATAAACAATACTAGTAGAGGAAGGGGAGAAAGATAAGGGCAAAGGAGAAGTCTAGGCAAAGTGAATCAAAAAGGTTGAAAAAGGAGAGGATGCTTTTGCTTTTGGGGTGGGTGTGAGGGGTGAAGGATCAAGGAAGACTTCATGAAGGAGGTGGCATCTGAATTGGGCCTTGAAGAAAGAGAGGGACTTCAATAGACAGAAATGGAGGTCAATGGAATAAAGGGAAACCAATCCATGAGAATGGGGGAGAGAGAGAGAGAGAGTCAGAGAGAGAGAGAGAGAGAGAGAGAGAGTGGTCCACGTTGGCTGCTACATAAACTCCCTAAAAGGGGGTGGCATAAGATAAAGCTGGACAGGTATCTTGGTGCCAGATTGTGGAGCACCTTCGGGTCAACAACAGGAGGTTAATACTTGATCGTACAGGTAGTGGTGAGCCAGCAGAGGCCTAAAGAAGCAGCATGATCAGAGTGGTGCATTAGGAAGATGACTTGGGCATCTGTGTGAAGGATGGACCAGAGACAGATAAAGGATAAAGTGAAGATAACCAACAGGGAGAAGGCACTCATGTTAAGAGGGATCTGGAAAGGCTCCATGCAGAAGGTGGGGCTTTAGCTGAGACTTGAAAGAAGCCGGGAAGCCAGGAGGGAGAGAGGAGGAAGGAGAACATTCCAGGCTTGGGGGAGAGCCAGAGAAAATGCCCAGAGTCAGGAGACGGACTCTCCTGTGTGAAAAAGAGCCAGGAGGCCAGTGTCACTGGGTTGATGAGTATGTGGAGGGGAGTACAATGTAAGAAGGCTGGAAAGATAGGAAGGGGCCAGAGATTTAAAAGCCAAACAGAGGATTTTCTGTTTGATCCTGGAGGTCATAGAGAGCCACTGGATTTGTTGAATAAGGTGGTGACGTGGTCAGATCTGTGCTTTAGGAAGATCACTTTTATTGTTGGGCAGAGGATAGATTGGAGTGAAGGATGAAGGAGCCTTGGAGCAGGGAGCTGGTAAATTGAAAGTTGGTAAGTTGAAACTTGGAGTTGGTAAGGGAAAGAGACTTGAGGCAAGAAGGCCAGTGAAGAGGCATCAGAGCTCCAGCATTAAAACAGGTCTCCTGACTCTACATCCAGTGTTTTTTCCACTGTTCCACAGATGCCCCTCTCTCTGAGAACTCATAGCTGGGTAGAGAAGACACACGAGAAATAATGAAATAATACAAGGCAGTCCCTTCTACCAATCTCAAACCACTCCTTTCTGTGAAAGCCCTTTAAACACACATACACACACACAGACACACACACACACACACACACACACACACACACACACACACACTACTGTCTGAGTGGTGCCTGTGGCTATAGATCATGAAATATCACAATCTCAGAAGAATAAAATTTTCAGGTGACACCAAAGGGCAACAGACAAATGCATGTTAGATGCAAGGAAGGCACAAATCTACAAATAATGACTCATGACAGAAATAATACAAAAGACATCAGGGACTTGTCTGATCACAAGAGGAGGCGAGCTACAAACATGGCAAGAATGAGAAATAATAGGGGCAGCTAGGTGGCGCAGTGATAAAGAGCACCGGCCCTGAAGCCAGGAGGACCTGAGTTCAAATCTGGCCTCAGACCAAACACTTGACACTCACTAGCTGTGTGGCTCTGGGCAAGTCACTTAACCTCAGTTGCCTGAAAAGAAAAAAAAAAAAGAATGAGGAATAATAGATAGGTAATCCCAATGTCAATTTTTTTTAAAATATCAAAGGAATTAAATTCAACAAAATTTTATTAAGTGCCTACTGTGTGCTAGGCAGAAAGATTCAAAGTCATGGTGACCAATGACCTGGGCTTAAGTTCTGTCTCTGACACAGATAGTCTGTGTGACCCTGGACAAATCACTGTCACTGTTCTAGGCAGCTCTCTAAGGCTATGAAGGGCTGACCTTTACTGGTAAAAGGACTTTCTTCATCTGAGAATTCCCTGTACAAATGAAATCACAGGTCCAAGACCCCTTCTCCAAAGCCCCAGGTGCCATGCTAGGCACTTGGATACCAAGACAAAAATGAAAAATTAATCATAAAAATAATAATAATAGCTGACATTTATATAGCACCTACTATGTCCCAGGCACTGTGCTAAGTGCTTTACAATTATTTTCATTTGATCTGCACATCAGTACTGGGAGGTAGGTGCTATTATTATCCACACTTTACAGACAAGGAAACTAAGGTAGACAAAGGTTAAGTGGCTTCCCCAGGGTCACACAGCTAGCAAGTGTCTGAGGCTAGATTTGAACTCAGACTCCAAACTTGTTGCTTTATCCACTAAGTCACTTAGCTGCTCCTTTCTTCAAGGAGTTCCCATTCTGTCAGTTGAACCAGAGGAAGGCATCTAATACATTGGGTAGATTCTCCTTAGAGGATTTATTGAAAGGCCATGTTCAAGGATCACACTAGATGAGAAGGCTGCAGGTAGGGTTGGGGTGGGGAGTTGCTATCAGCACCAGTGGAGGGAACATCCTTAGCAACAAGATCACTGTCCCGTAGAAGTTCATCAAGTAATTGAACCAGGAAGTATATGTATTAGCTCCTCAGGAAGGCAAGGGGAGTTGATCTGTTGAGGGGGAAGCCTCAACAGATTTTCTACCAATTTTCTACCAATAGTCCTAGAATGGTCTCTACTCCTTCTCCTACCCCGAGGCTGCCTACTACAAGTAGCAAATGAAACCAGAAAAGGTCCGGGCCTCTGGACTAGAATTCCCTAAACTAGCCTTTTAAACTATGGCTACAAAGCTAGATGTGTTGACAACAGAAAAAGGAAGAAATCTGAATGGACTTCCTTATAACAGAACCAGGCATCTCTGGAGAGCTGTCAGCAGGGTAGCTTCCTTTAAGCCTGTGTCAATCCTGAAGAAGTCTTATGTCCTGGGCTGTGCTGTGAGCTGCCTGAGATCTTAGGCAGAGATTACTGAAGAGCTGATGACTGGTACAGAGCTGCAACCTTGACAACACCTTCTGAGCTCTTCACTATTATTACAGTAAGAGAAGTCAAGGGACCCTGGCGATCAGAGGTTACAGGACCATGCATAGCACAATGCTAAGTGTCAGATGCCAAGTTCAGACAGTGAACCTCAGAGTTCAAAGAAAGGAGAGGTCAGTGAGTGCTGGCATAGTCAAGGAAAGCTTCCTGAAGGAGATGACATTTGAACGATGGTCAATGTTTGGATAGAGGGAGAGGATGAAGAGCATGGGATGCTAGTGGTGGAAGAAGCTGACTAGGAAAGCAAAGATGTGGAAGTAGGAATGAGCCACATATATGGAAAAGGAGACTACTCCAACTTACCCATTTCCCTACTTTTTCACCAGTGAGCTTTCCTTCAACTCCATGTTTTCCTTCAACAATTTAACAAATGTGTATTAGGCCAGTGTGAGGCACTGTACTAGGCACTGAGAATCCAAAAGTGAAAAATGACAGTCCCTCAAGGCACTTACATCCTCCTAGGAGGGATATGCCATGTACACAGATAAATATAACAACACAACATTGAATATAATAAGGGTAAAAGAGTGATAAGGGGGTGAAATTAGAGAAGACTTCAAAGAAAAAGTGGCAACTGAACTGAGCTTCAAAGGGAGATAAGACTTTTTAAAAAATTATATTTTTATTTTGTTAAATATTTTCCAATTACATTTTTAATTTTTAAGACTCATTTTTTTTTAATTTTGAGCTCCAAATTCTCTCCCTCCCTCCCAACCCAATGAGAAGGCAAACAACATGATATCAATCATACATATATAATCTTCTTTTTTTCTTTTTTTGGTGAGGCAGTTGGTTTTAAGTGACTTGCCCAGGGTCACACAGCTAGTAAGTATCAAGTGTCTGAGGCCGAATTTGAACTCAGGCCCTCCTGACTCCAAGGCCAGAGCTCTATCCACTGCACCACCTAGCTGCCCCATGTATAGTCATGCAAAACAAAAATTCCACATCAGCCATCTTGCAAAAAACAACAACAACAACAACAACATGAAAAAAGCGTGAAATAAAATGAAAAAAGTATGTTTCACTTTGCACTCAGAGTTCTTCAGTTCAGAGAGAGTATTTTCAGTAGGCAGAGACGAGGAAAGGAGTCAATGCCAGGCCCAAGGGACTGTCTGCCTGGGCAAATGAATAGAGGCAGGAAAACATAAGATGAGATCAGGAAACTGTTCATTAATCCCTTGGTTATTATTCAGAGAATGCAAAAGGGAGGAATGTGATTATTTCACATTACTGGAAAGATAGATTGGAGCTAAATTGTTTTGGATTTTATCCTATACATCCCAAAGAAAACATCTCCCTCCCTTCTCTCACCTTTTCCCTTACCTTTATGTGTCCAGGCTCTCTGGAATGCTACACCTGTGAGTCAGAGTCCATTGAGGAGCACTGTAATAAGATCAAAACCTGCGCACCCTCTCAGACCTTCTGCAAAACCATCATCACCAGAGGGAATGCAGGTGAGTAGTGGGGGAAGGGGAACCCACACGAGAAAAGAGGGACTGTTCCTAAGGTAATAGAGTCTGAGTTCAGGGCAAAGTCTTAAATAGGCAGCCTAGTAAGAGCCCTGAACTGAAAGTTTGGAGACCTGGGCTTCAGTCCCAGCTCTGCCACAGACTAGGTCCACAGTCTTGAGAAAACTATCTCTCCCTAAATCTCAGTTTCCCATCTGTAAAAGAAGGGTGATCTGTAAAAGAAAGACCCCTGAGGACCTTCTAGCTCTGACATTCTATGTTCTAAGGCCCTTTCTAGCTCTATCATTCTGTGATTCTATGATCCTGGGCAATTATCAACCCCTTCCTCCATATCTTTCCTTTTTTTCTTTCTATCTATCTTCTAGGACCTCTCCATATACTCATGGTCCCCCAAAGGTCTTGCTCTGCCGTGGTGGATAATAGTAATAGTAATAGTAATAATACCTTTAATTTCTTTAGCACATTAAGGTTTATAGAATCTGAGTTGTAAGGAACCTCAGAAGCCATGTAGTTCAATCTGTACCTTACCATGAATCCCTCCCTTTATTCACAATACAAAGTCACTCAGCCTGTACCTGAGAAGTTCTGATGTGGGGACTCCAACTACTGTTCCAGGCATCCCATTCTGCTCTCAAGACAATCCAAATTTTAGGAGTTTGTCTTGACATCAGACATAAACTGGCACATTTGTCCCACTCATTGGTCCCAGTTTTACCTTCAGGTCCCAAGCAGAATAAATCTAATACTTATTTCTTATGACAGCCCTTCAAGTAACTGAAGACAACAATGGGGATTCTCTTAGTTGTCTTTTCTCCAAGCTAAGCATCTTTGTTTCCTTTAACCCTGTCTTATATGGTGTCTCCAGGCATCTCACCATCTTGGGCGCCCTCTTCTGGACACATTCCAGCTTGTCAATGCTTCTTAAAATGATGAGCCCAGAACTGAACACAGTGGTCTGATCAGGGCAGAGGAGACAGTAATCATCGCTTTCCAAATCTGAGTTCCTTTTTTCTTAAATTCTTTGGTTTTTTTATCCGTCATATCACACTGTAAACTTATATGGAGCTTGAAGTTTACTAAAACCACCACATTTCCCACACAAGGATCCATTATCAGGCTATGTCTCCCTATCTTATGCTAGTAAGGCTCAATTTTTAAACTGATTCCAGACATTCAATTGATTCTAAACCCAAATAGCTCTTCTATCATCTAACCCACATCTCTCTACCTTGTCGGCAAAGTTACTGTAAGAGATTTTTGTCAAGTTTTGGTTTTTTGTTTGTTTTTTGTTTTTGCTTTGTTTTACCAAAATCAGGGTATGCTCACTTTATCTAAGATATTCCCTTATTCTACCTGTCTAGTAATCACATCCACAAAGGATATGAGGTGAGTACAACAGGATCTTTTCTTAATGATGGCTGCCGTGCTGGCTCATAGTGAGCCAGCCATTTCTGAATGCTTAGAAACTTCACCATTAAAAAATATACCCTAGAACTTTGCCAGGAATTGAAGAAAATATCCATTCTCCTATTTTTGAAAACTCGTACAATATTTCCCTTTTTCAAGTTGGTAATATCTCTCTTCTTTTTCATGATCTTTCAAAGATCATAGACGGCTGGGTAGCTCAGTAGATACAGCACTGGGCCCTGGAGTCAGGAAGATCTGGGTTCAAATTCTGCCTTAGATACTTACTATGACCCTGGGCAAGTTAACCTCTGTTTTTTCAATTGTTTTTTTTTTTTCAATTGTAAAATGAACATCCCCCGGTTGTTGTGAGGATCAAATGAGGTAATATTTGTAAAGTGCTTAGCACAGTGCCTGGCGCATGGTAGATACTTAATAAATATGTGTTCCCTTGTTTCTATCCTTCAAAGACTGGTAACAGAAATCCTACAATCATATCTACCATTTTCTTAGCTTTCCTAAAATATAGTTCATCTAGGCCTGGTGACCTGAACTCACTAAGTATAGCTCAATGCTCTTTTACCATCTCTTCACTCATCTTTGGGTTTCAATTCCTAGTTAAACTTCATTGTTATAACTTTCCCAATCCAAAGATTTTGGGAGAAAGAAAACAGAAGCAAAATAAGAGTAAGGTAATCTGGCCTTCTCATTTCCATCCTTTTGTCATCATTCTATCTATCCAAATAATTGGTCCTATCCCTTCTTTGATCTTTCTCTTATATTTTAAAAAAAATTATGAATATATTTTGTTTTTACATCACCTATTCTATATTTCCCAATGTAGCTGCCTCTCAGAGAGTCATATTTTATAACAAAGAATTTTTTAAAAACCAACTAAAAAGAGCCAGCCATCTCCCAAGTGTTGAATGCTGTTCCCTCCATCTTCTTCCATAATAGAAAAAGAGGGTTAAAAAAATTACATCTCCCAGGAGGCTGTGTGGTTAGTTTTGGGCCCACAGGATAATAAAAGATAATCCTTGACTTCAAGGAGATTACATTCTATTGGGAAAGGGAATGGAGGGAGATATAACAGGCACACAGACAGCTAGCTAAGCACAAAACATAAAAAGTAAATGCAAAATAATTTCAAGGTGGGAAAATATTTAGCCATCGAGGAGATCAGGACAGATCAACCAGTCAATAAATATTTATTGAGCACCTACTGTGTGCTGGGCACTGTGTTAAGTGATGGGGATACAAAGAAAAGCTAAGGCAGTCCCTGTTCTTGGGGAGCTCACAGTCTAATGGGGAAGGAGAACATGCAAATAGCTATGTGCAAACAACCTATAATCAGGATACACTGGAAATAATCAACAGAAGAAAAGCACTAGAAATAAAGGGGATCAGGAAAGGCTTCTCGTAGAAGGTGGTCTTTTAGCTGGGACTTCAAGGAAGACAAGGAAGCCAAGAGGAAGAGAGGAGGATGCATGGGGGACAGCCAATGAAAATGTCCGAAGTCAGGAGATGGAAATCGAAGAGTATTTGGGGAGTGGGGAGAGTAAGGTGCCAGAGAACATCTGAGCCTTCTTCTTGCCTTCACTTTGACTACCAGCCTTAGCTCATTCCGGCCTGTAGTGTTCCCGACTCTATTCTTACAGATTGAGGCTACTGTTTGGTATTCATGCCTTGTTACCTACCTGCCCATCTCATGTACTTCTTCTTCTTAAACTTGACTTGTGATGGATTCCTTTTGTAGCTCCATAGGCCCCTCTGGGCAGCTGTTTCTTTTCCTCCTCATCAGAATCACATCTGTATATTCAGAATTTCATTTGCAAAAACTTCTCATCCCTCTTGGGATACTTTGCCTTGCAGAATGTTAGGTTGGTGGATCCTACCTTTCTTCTAATCTCTGTCTACTCTTTGAAGTCAGATCTCCTCAAGTCTAGGTTGTGTCTCAGACTATGCTAATTTTCTTCTCCTGTGTCCTGAGCTCTGTAACAGAGTGGTCACTTACCTCTTCTTCTCATCCCACCTTCCATCACAGTATCCATCATTTCTCCTTCAGCAGCCAACATCTCCTTCTTGGTCAGGATCTAGTCCAGAACAGCAGTTCCCATTCCTTACTTCCTTCACTTTTTGAAGGATGAAATTATTCCTAAGGTAGGTCAAGAATTTGTTGACTATTCTACATCTGACAGGGGGAAGATTCCAACAAGTATCTGGGTAACGGAAGTTCCCCTCAATAGGAAAGCATGCATCATTGACAGCCTTGTGACCTATTTACCAAAGTCCTCCTCTATTTCATCCTTCTGTCTAGGTGGCCTACATAATATTCTGATAATAATATCCCCTCTGCTTCTCCCTTCATTGATCCTCATCTGAAAGTTCCATATCATATTTTCCCCCTTGGGATTCCTAGATTTTCTCACTAGAATGTATCTTTATATATAATGATATTACAAGCACAATTTCTGCCTTCAACATAGTTTTATTAGCAAGACCTAAAGACAGGCCCTAAAACTATTTTCCTTAGTGATACCTGAGATTCTACCATGATTGCTTCATTTCTTTGGATTCAGTATTACCCACTCCAGGCTCCCATTTTAAAATCCTACCACTTTTCTTCATAAAGGGGACACATTTGGTCTCCAACCCTTTGAGGGGAAGAAGTTCCTCAGAGAGCATTAAAGGGTGTCAGACCCGGAAGGAACCTTAGAAAACATTTCATCTAATCTTCTTTTATAGAGAAGGAAACACCTCCTAGAGAGTAGCAATAACACACAGTGAGAGAGCTTTGTAGCAGCATGCCTTGGGGGGTGAAGATGGGGGGTAAGAGTTAGGGAGGGGGCTTTATTTTTGAGGACAGTGAGCTCTCTTCCTTGTCCTCCCTGGGAGGAGTGGAGAGATTAAGATTAGTAAGGGGGAGACCCAGTGTGACCCTTATTCTCCAGGGTTGAAGTTTCTGAGGATGGGGTCCCATGAAAAGCAGGACCTTGATCTCACTCCATTTAATAAGGGGGCCCAGAAATAGGCTGGATTCCCTGCTTCCCATAGAACAGAAATATACTTGATCATCTGATAAATATGGCAAATAGAGAAGCTCCATGAAGTTCCCACTGCCCCATCCCCTACTCCCACCCCCAGTTGAGAAGGATAATGGGAGACAGCTGTCAGAATAAAGTGTCAATTTGAAGTTCATCATTCCCCCAGGGCCCACTCCCTGGTCCTGTGGCAGACCCTGATTACTGAGTCCTTATCCCCATCCCTACACCCTCAACCTGGTCCCCCCCACAACCAGTTAAATCTACAGCTACCCTCCCCCTAGGAGATCCAGCCTTGGTCAGGCCCTCAGCTCCCAAGCCCTCCACGTGGCCTTCTCACTCCCTGCTCCTTCCTATGCAGACTCCAACTACCTCACCACCTTCTCGGCGTGGTGCTCAGATACCTGCAAAGAAGCCACTAAGATCATAGAGGGGACTCATGTGACCGTGAACTGCTGCCAGTCTGACATGTGCAACCCCTTGTTGGTGGCAGGCAGAGACTCAGACACGAATTCAAAGGTCAACTGTGGGGGCATCCTTACAGGTGTGGGAATGACCACCCTGTTCATGCTGCTCTGCAGCTGGCTGGGGAGAGATCTATGAAAGGAGACCCCCTGCCCAGGAGTTCCCCTCTGCCTTCTGGCCCTACTTCCTTTGCCCCGAGCCTAATTCTACTCCACCCCAAGAAAGAGTTCTCCTGTCCCATGAAGTCGCTAGCTCTTCTCCCCCAGGCCTGTGTTCTGCAGTCCCTTTTGTTTCTGGAAGGCTGTGTTCTACCAAAATCATTTTCACCTCTAACATCCCATTTTATGATCAGAGCTCTGCCTCTGACAGCGTAGGTTCTAAAGGGCCTTTCCAACTCTGACATTCCATGTTATATGTTCTCAGGTCCCTTCCAGTTCTCATGTTCCATATTCTGTGTTCTAAGGTCTCTTCTAGCTCTAATATTCTATGATTTTGTTACTTTCTCAAATAAGAGGTGACCCGATAAAGGAAAAGGGTCTCTCTCATGCCAGCTCGGTCTGTCTCTAGGCAACAGGTCACAGGCCGAAATGTTCAGACTTATATGAATTGTACTCAAGTCTCTGCTGCATCTCCCTACCTGTGTCTTCCTGTCAGGAAGAGGAGAGGTGTAGATGTTGAGAGACAACGTGGAGATAAGCTTCTGTATCCTGGAGTCAGGACTCTGCCCATCTCTAATGCCATACATTGGAATGGGATCGTAGAACAAGAGTCTAATTGGGCAGGGGTCAGGTATGGGAGGACAAAATGTTAGCCTTCTGGGCCATTCATTTTTGATAAATATCCAAGGACCTCAGAACATTGTAGCCCTTACTGCCCCTCCACCTACTTCCTCTATCCCCACCTGTCTCTCCAAGTGGTCCTATCTTCAGGACTAGAGTACTACCTTCTGATAATAAAGTTTTGGTTTCTTTAATAGGTGGCAGCCTTCAAACCCTCCAATGACACCAGCATCTGACATGTCCCTGCTCCTCTCTGAACCCTGTTTCCTCCCCTTTAATTATAAAGTCCCTTCCAGCTCTGCTGTTCATCCAGTTGACTCAGCCAGAACTAGGGATAGGCAAGGTAGGCAGCTGCCTAAGGTGTAACATTCAACGTCCAGAGAGGGAGAGTCATAACAAAGGACATTTCTTTCCTATCGCTTTTTATAAATGCACATATATTTAATGTCCCCAAATCCCACTCACTATACCTTATAGGGATTAATTTTGTGACAAATTAGCACCTACATGTTACAGTGAAAGCTGGGAAGGCTGTAGCACATACTGGAGGCACAATTTTCAAAATTTGTCAGAGGTGCACAAATGCTTTGTGGTGTTTTCAGATTAGATGTTAAAGAATCCAAGAATTAAGAGTTAGAAAGGACCTTAGAGAGGTCCAAACTTCCCCACTCCTATTTTATTTATTCTTTTTTTTCTGTAATATGAGGAGATATTTTGTTTTTAACACAACAGCTGTTATCCAGCAAACACCTAAACAAACCCACTTACAAAGAATATTCCCTGAAAAACAGCTTATCAGTTGTCAATACATATTTATGTATTATTAATATCAGAATCATTTCCCAATATACCACCTCCTCATTGATTTTTCCCTTGTAACAAAGAAAAATTGAAGTCAAGCCACAAAATAACTGTGTAATAGTATATACATCACTCTTCACTTATACTGTTCCACCTCTCTGCTCAGAGGAAGATAATGTTTTCCTCCTCCTTTCTCCAGAACCAGGACTAGTTGGTGTAATTACTATGACTTCAGGAGCTTTTTAGTGTTGTTTTCTTTACATTATTGTAGTCATTGTATATATTGTTCACTTGGTTCTACTCTTTTCACTCCGCATCGATTCATACAAGTTTTCCCATGTTTCTCTGTATTTGTCATTTCTTATAGAGTGATAATATTCCATTACGTTCATATACCACGGTTTATTCTGTCATTCCACTATTGATGGACACCCACTTTGTTTCCAAGGTCCTTGCTACCATGTAGAATGCCACTATGGACATTTTGTTATATATGGTTATATATGCCATTGACATCTGAGAGGTGTAGGCCCTCGTTGTGTCAAAAGACGTTAATAATTTAGACTTTATTTGCATAATTCCAAACAATTTTCCAAAAACAATCCCTTCACTTTACAGGTGGGAAAAACTGAGGCCTAGAAGAAATAAAATGCCCAAGATCACTTATGTACTAGATTGTGGAGCCAAGATTCAGATCCACATCCTGGACTCCAAATTCACAACACCATGTTGACTTGAGTTCACCCATGGGAGGGAGGGGTGACCCCACCTAACACATACCCAGGATCAGAGCCATCACAAGGTCTGAAGGGAGACACTATCCTAAGAAAAGTGGGTCAGAGTCTAAAGCTTGAGAATAAACCAGAAGTTGTTCTCTGTCAGGGATCAATTTCCTAAGTACACCAAATGAAGAAGCTGTGACAAATCAAGGAGTAAAGAGGGATAGCAGTGATAGGACCATATGCCCTTGTGGCCTGGCAGTGACATATCAGTGTGGTCATGAGTTGACAACTGACCTTTAGTTCCTCCTGACTCAGTTGGGCTGGTAAGAATATGGGATCAGAGAATAAAGAGAGAAATTACAATGGTAGCTTCCAAATCTGTGGAGCATTAAATTCAATTAATATTAAATAACATTTCAAATTTTATATCATAAATTTAAAACTGTCAACAAAAGCAAGTAATCAAACCTACCTCACAAGGAGCAAATTCTTATTTAAAAGCCTTAGCATTCAACAAGATGGAACCAAGCAAATCCACAGACATGCAAAAGAAATGCTTCTTGACCCCTTTCCCACCAAAACCAGTTCCACAATGAACCCACATAGAAAATAACAAAGATAACCCTTTATCCAAGTTGACAGCAAAAAACAGACGAGAGAAAATATATGCATGGAAATACAGACCAGACAATATAAATAGAGTGAGCTCTCCTCTGGGGAGCAAAACAGTTCAGCTCAACCAAGAGGAAGAGTTTCAGATCTCACCCCAGGAGAAATTTCCTGAAGTCTCTAGTGTAGCAAACTGGGGACAGAAACATGCTGGAGACTTCTAGCTCCTATCATGTTCTGGGACTTGAAGAAAACCACTGGAGCCAAGAATCAGAGATGATGAGAGAACATTCAATCCAAGGAAAATAGCCAGTGCAAATGTTTAAAGGCAACAGATGGAATGTCTTGTTCATAGAAGAGCCAGGAGGTGGGAGGTGACTTGGTCAGATCTGCACAAAATCACTTTGGTGGCTGAATGGCAAGCAGAGTGGGAAGAGACCAGCAGGCAGACCCTGCCCCACCCCAGGCTGTGGTAATAGTAATGCAAATGTGAGGTGACAAGGGCCTGCAACATAGTGATGGTAGTATCAGAGGAGAGAAAGGGGCCTATTCAAGAGATGTTGCAAAGGTGAAGTCAACAGACTTTGGCAGCAGCTTGGATATGGAGGATGAGAGAGAGGGAGGAATCAGGATGACTCCTAGATTTTAAGCCTCAGGGACTGGAACAATGGTGTTGCCTTCTACAGTTCCAAGTCTAGTGTTCTTTTTACCACACCACACTGACCTTTCACGTGGTCATTCTCTATCATAAATGGCAATGGAAAACCTAGAACTCACTTCCACCACCACGACTACCACCTTTGATTTGGAGTTAGGAGAGGTAAGTTCAAATATTAGTTTTACATGCAAGTTGTGTGACCTTGGATAAGTCCCTGAACCTTAGTTTCCTCAGAAATTAGCCTGGATAATCTCTAAGATTCTTAGCTGCTGTACACCATGTATGATCACCTAAATATCTGCCTATTCACTGAGAACAAGACACTACAATCTATGGGGAAGGGTATGGAGAAACTCAAATGAAATAATAGATATAAAGCACTTTGCAAACCTTAAAGGGTATATAGATGCCAATTATTGTTATTATCATTAGCCTAACTTCCTTCTTCAAGCCTTTTGCTATGCTCCTGATGAGCTTAGGCAATGTTTATAGGGCAATATAAGGGTGTCCTGGTAAGTTTTTAACAACTAGGGTGTGGGAGATGGAGGAAATTTTTTAAATTTATGCATTTAAATTTAATCTGAACTGTGAACACTTTCTTAAGTCTAGACAATCAACAAAACAATAATTCAAACTGACTTAACAATTGAGTATTTCTGAGGTGTGAATACTCTCACTGAAAATTTAAGAATCAGCTCTCCCTAGTGGTGAAAGCTGGCTAAAGCACTCTGCCTGGCTACAGAATAGAGGAAGGGCCCCAGGAGTGAGGTTCAGACAGTCGGTCAACAAGCAAGGGAAATTAATACTATGCTGTTATGTCGATGACTAATTATTCATTCATAATCTACCCTTTTCCTCTTATATCTATTAATGCCCATCTCCTGAAAAGGTCAATCTCTGAAGGGCATGGCTGAATGATGAGATTACTAGACCTCCAAGGAACTTGCTCCTTAACTAAAGTGGGCGGGATCCCACACAACTGAGAAACCTCATTTCTGTTTAGAGTATAAACAGAATCCAATCTGAGTGAGTCCTTGCCTGGGGGAGGAACCCCTGTTCTTGGTCCCTTCCATTAAAGCTTAAGGCATCCCAGCTCATGAAGGAGAAAACTAGGCAGAGAGATTCCAATGGAAATGGTTCCCCCTGCCCAGATGCCATGAGACTGCTGAGTCTCACGATCAAGCCACATTCTCAGCAGGAAGAGCTGAAGACTTTTAGCCCACCTCCTCATTAAATGTCCATCAGGCAGGGTTGAGTTTCGTTAGTCAAGGGAGTTCCCTTTCAGAGGGTACACATCTGATCTAAGGCATTTCAGAATCTCCTTTGGCATCTTTGGTTACTGAGAGAAACTGCTGACCATCAGTTTATTGATTCAGGCTAGACTAATTAATAAATTGATTATTAATTATCCAGAAACTCTGTCTTTTGGGGGTTTTCATTCATCATACAAGTGCGGGTCAGGTAAAAAGAAGGAACTGCCACTTAGAATCTCAAAGTAGGAAGATAATTTAGAACCTCTGGTTCAATGAAGGTGAATAAGATATTTCAACTGATTACGTCCAAGGGAGGAAGGAGTCAAAGACAACTTGTGAGTTTTGAATCTGAGTGACACTTGATAGGAACTAAGATGGCAGACAGACTTCTAGAGCTAAGAGAGATTTTAAAAATACAAAAACAGCTGGAGCAGTTGACAATCATGGTCCAACAAGGAACAACAACAACAACAAAAAATCCTCAGCAGGGAAGTGGCATGGTATGGGTGGCAAGCATTTTGGTCTCAGGACCCCATTACAGTCTTAGAAATTATTGAGGACTTCACCCAAAGAGTTTTTATATGGATTATATCTATCAATATTTACCATATTCAAAATTAAAACATCTTAATTTTATTATGAAATTGTTTTAACCCTGCAGACCCCCTAAAAGGGTGAGCAGGATTCCTTGAGAACTGCTGGTGTAGTGGATGGAATACTGGACTTGGAGTAAGGAATCCCACCTCAAACACTTGCTGTGTGACCCTGGGCTAGTCATTTTAACTTTTCTGGGCTTGTTTCCTCATCTGTAAAATGAAAGCATTAGACTGGATGACCCCAAGGTCCTTTCCAGCTCTAAGTCTATGATCCTAAGTCATCTCCCCCAACTTTTCTACTCCCAATGATGGAATTACCTTCCTCAGCAAAGTGACCTAGCCTTTGCTTAAATATTTTCCAGCAATGGGAAGCTCACTTCATTTTTAACAAATTCTACCAACTATAGAAATGGAACCTGATTCCCTAAGACTATCCCAACATTGAGCCTATGTTCTAGAACTCCCCAATTTTGTCTCTGGGAACCATGGTTGGAATCATTTGGAAATGATAAGCCGTCTTAAGACAAAATCAAATGAACTTTGGGTTTCTCCACTGAAGTCAACCTTGAATCTACCTCACCCTCATTTGACTTGCCTAAGACCCAAATCCTGGTACAGATGGGTTCCCCCAGGAGAAGTAGAAATGAAATCACACAGGGAGCAGCTAGGTGGCACAGTGGATAGAGCTCCAGCCTTGGAGTCAGGAGGACACGAGTTCAAATCCAGCCTCAGACACTTGACACTTAAGTCACTTAAACCTATTGCCTAGTAAAAAAAAAAAAAAAAAAAAAAAAAAGAAAAAATGAAATCACATGAAATCTCAGAATTCTAAGGCTCGTCAGAGATCATCAAGCCCAGCCTATATCTGAACAGTTTGTAAGTGCTGTAATTTGAATCCAGTCTTCTGATTCCATGTCCGAAGCTATTTCTAGAAGTTCAAAGCCTAGAATGGGAATAACAGGCTTCAAACCGGAAGGCCCCTCAAAGACCATCAACTCCAACCAAATCATTTTCTAGAGGAAAACACTGAGGCCCAGAGAGGAGAAGTGATTTGTTCCATGTTTCAAAAATGTTAAGTATCAGCCTCCCAGTCCAATACTCTTCCTGCCACAGCGGGCTGCCCTGGGTACTGCTGGGAATCAGATGGAGATGGGAGATGGATATTCAGGTTGGTTTTTACTGTTATTGCTGGACGACAGTTTATTCAGTTTGTCTGAAATGTGGAATGCATAAAGAGGAAATAATGTGAAATAAAGTTAGGAAGGTCAGCTGGAACCAAATTGTCCATTGTACTCCAGCACCCTACTCTGAGAGGTTCTGGGACTCTGACTGAGATGGGAGAGAAAAGCTCATGTTGGGTTTTTTTAAGTTAGTTTATTTATTTTTAACATTCTTTTTTCTTAATTTTGAGTTCCAAATTCTCTATCTCCCTTTAGCCCTCCCCCAACCACTGGGAAAGTAAACAATATGATATCAGTTATAAACACGAGGTCACGCAAGATTTCCATATTAGCCATGTTGCCACCAAAACACACACACACCCACTCAATAAAAAGCAAGAAACATAAAGTGAAAAAAGTATGTTTCAGTCTGCATTTAGAGTTCATCAATTCTGTGGAGTTGGACAGCATTTTTCATGAGTCCCTTGGAATTGTCTTGGATCATTGTATTGATCAGAGGAGCCAACTCTTTCACATTTGATCATCATTACAATATTGCTGTTACTGTGCACAATGTTCTCCTGGTTCTGCTCACTTCACTATGCATCAGTTCATACAAGTCTTCTCAGGTTTTTCTGAAACCATCTCCCTCATCATTTCTTATAGCACTTATAGTACTACTGTATTCCACAATCATATATCACAACTCATTCTGCCATCCTCCTATTGACGGGCATTTCCTCACTTTCCAGCTCTTTGCCACCATAAAGAGAACTGCTATAAATATTTTTGTACATCCAGGTTCAGGTCAGTTTTTACTACTATTGCCTGGAAAACAGGTCGTTTATTTTGTCTGAAATGTAGAATGTATGAAGGAAAATAGTATGAAATAACTAACTAGGAAGGTCGGGTGGGGCCAGACTGCCCTTTCTACCCCAGCACCCTGCCCTGCGAGGTGCTGAGACTCGGACGCGGGCCACGAATGCAAGAAAACAGAAGCCACAGTTTAGGGAGAGATCAGTACCACGCGCCTGCCATCCCCCGCCCTGCAGCTGGCCAACGACAGAGATGCCGAGTCCTCCCGTCTTCCTAGAGCGTCTCAGGAAGCAGTCTGGGGGACCGGACTGAAGCGGCTCCGCCGGAAGGGGGTGTGTGCTCCCAAGAGGACACTTCCGGCGGGACTCTGGCTGGGCTTCAGGCCCGGGGCTTGAGCAGGTGTGCTCTGTGCTTTAGTCGTTTGGAGCCCGCTCTCACCACAGCCCACCCGCGACGAAGCGCGCCCAGTTCCGCGGGAGGGATTGCGCCTGTGCTCGGGGGACGGCCCCAGGGCCCCGAGGCCGCGGCGGGCGACGAGGACGAGGGTGAGTCCGGCGGAGACGGGGAGTGGCGGGAGCGGGGCGAGCCTCTCCTGTCCCCTTCCTCCTTTCTCAGAGCCTCTCCTTCCTTTTCTCCACATCCGCCCTCTCGCGTTCCTGGTTTCCCGTGGCCCTGGAACCCCCGGCCGGCGGGCTGGTGTGCCTTGCAGGATTGGACTGGAAGAGGGTGAGGGCAAGCACGGCAACGATAGTAAGGGGCCCCGGTGATGTAGCGTAGTCAGAAGGGCAGCAGGCACTTATTAAGCGACTCCTGTGTACCGGGCATTGGGCTAAGGTGCAACGAGAGGCAAAAGAAAGACTGTGCCCTCACGGAGCTTACAGTCTGATGGGGAAGCCTAATCGCAAACAACTATGTACAAACAGGATTTTGACAGGCTAAATTGGAGATAATCAGCACAGAGATTGCACTCGCGTAAGACTTATTGCAGAAGGTGGGATTTTAGGTGGGACTTAAAGGAATCCCCGAGGTAGAGATGAGGGAGAGCATTCTAGGAATGGGAAAATGTTGGGAGTGGGGACATGGAGTGTCATGTACAACCAGGAGCAAGCCTGCAGGTGGCACTAGATGGTAGAGTAGTAGGGATGGGATGCTGAAGAGGCCAGGTTATGAATTCAGACGGTCACACTATAAATAATGTGTGTCATAGGCAAGATTTGAACCCATACCTTCCTTTCTCCAAAGCTGACCACCATCCAATATGTTGTACACCTCGGGAATTACATTTATGGGGATTCTGTCTTTTTAGATTCATCCGAGATCAATCTTTTTGCATCCTGATTGTGTTGACATACATTGGAGTTCTTAACGTACAGTCTAGGGCACCTAGGAGGTGGCAGCCCTGGTTTGAAATCTGGTTTGACACTTATTATCTGTGTGACCCTGGGCAAGTCACTCAACCCTGTTTGCCTCAGTTTCCTCATAAGGAAAATGAGCTGGAGAAGGAAATGGCAAACCACTCCAGTATTTTTGCCAAGAAAACCCCAAATGAGGTCGTGAAGAGTAAGACGTGACTGTAAACAACAACAAAAAACATAGGATCTAGAAACTTGGGGCATTTAAAAATTTTTAACAACTATTTCAATATAATTGGTTTCCTTTGTAGTCTTGTATATTGTTAACAACATTCTGAGGAGTCTACAGGCTTTGCCAAGGGGGTGCGTGACATTAAAAAATTAAAAAAAAAAACAAAAAACGCAGAAATGGTTAGGAAGCCCTAATGTAGATGGTTGCTGTGGTTCCTTCCAGGTTTGACATTATGTGATTCTAAATAACAGTGAAGGAGATGACAAAAAGTTTACCAACAAATTTATATTCAGAGAGAGGATCATATCAAAGGCCATAACCCCCTGAAGGACAACTTACCAGACTGACTTAGTATTCCAGAGACTTATAATAATGTTTCTTTATATAATAATGCTGTTTCTATAACAGCATAATTGTGACTCCCTGCATGTTGTAAGTGTTTTATACCCACAAATAAATTAATGAACAGTGATAAAATACGGCTCTACAGGGTCATTACACAGAAAATCCACAATTTTGTTGGTTAGTATAGATAACTAGAGGATTTTAGAGTTGGAAGTAACTTTAAAGGTAGACCTTGTAGTTTGTCTCCTTCATCTTACAGTGTATACTTAGTGGAGTAAACCTATATTTCACTGAGACCTAGAGGAGTAAACTTGCTTTTACAGGGTTACACAGTAGGTTGGCAGTAGAACCAGGCTTAAAAACCAGGCCTTTCTTGTCTCTGGTAAAGTATTAGATTTAGTTTATTGAAAAGAGCCCTGGACTTTGGGGTTAGCAGACCAGGATTCAAGTCCCAGCTTGAGCAAGTCACTTAAGCACAATGGAAAAGGGCGTTGTTATTGTTATTGGAGAGATAAAGTTTCTGGGGTACTATGGACACATTCCACCTCCTTTGAAATTCAAATTCAATTCAACAAACATTTATTACGTACCTACCATGTGCCAGGCTTTTTCCTAGGTGCTGAGAATATAAAGATAGAATTGATTGACCCTGCCCTCTAGAAGCTTATATTTTGGGTAATATAGAAGTAGTACAGGTACTCCATAATAAAAAATAGGCTGTATTAGTGGGAAAATTTGAGAAAAGAAAATACTTGCTGTTCAGGAATTCAGAGAAGGCAACGTACAGGAGATGACACCTGAGCTAAACCTTAAAGGAAGAGAGTTTTGCAAGGGAAAAATGAGGAAGGAGAGTACTCCAGGCATGGTAGATTGCCCCAGGAAATTTATGGAGGTGTGAGATGGAAGCTTAGATCAGTTTCTGGTGTTGCCTGGAACATCAGTTTTCTGAACTGTTGACTGCATGAAGGAGAATAATGTGAAATAAGGTTAGAAAGGTAGGCTGGAACAGATTATGCTGATGTTGCTTAATGCTGCCTGGCCTTTGCCACTAAATCATTTCCCAGAATAGTGACTGACATTTAAAATTTGCAGAATGCTTCACATACATTATCTTATTTGAGCTTAACACAAAACTACAGGTGCTGTAGGTATTATTGTCATTTTACCAATGAGGAAACTGTTGCTTAAAAAATGAAGTGATTTGCTCATGGACATACAGCAAGTGTCTAAGGTGGGATACTATGGTGCCTTTCCCATGCAAGAAGTAGTTGGCACCTACTGATAACAACACCTGAGGGCAAGTAGAGACTAGTCTTAGAAAATCTTGGAGAGAATATGGTAGAAATAATCCAGAGTGCTAGGTTTTTTATCTCATCTACCCCTTTGCTCTTCCTGATTTCCTCTAGGAAATGAATGAAACTCTGGTTCAAACCTTCCCACCCACCCATCCCACCCCCCCTACCCAGCCTCTCTTCCCTTGAAATGAAGTGTTTATTGTTTTTAGTTTGGGATTCTTACAATATCCATCTGAATCTATCCTCACCCACCTGTAACATTAACTGTTCCCCAGGTCCCATTTGTGCACATCACCAGAGGATATGGCAGCCCTGGGGGCAGTACAGGAGCCACTCTCTGCTTCAGCCCACATCAGCTTCCCATCACCTGGATCCCTTTCAGGGCCTCCGCATCATGAGATGCTACTGCACCTCCAGGATCCCCAATACGGTACTCATTCTACCCCAGCCCACTCCCAGAGGTCTATGTCCCTCCTCTTCAGCCAGAGCCTTCGACATAGATTCCTTCGTAAAGTCATTGAGCACATTTTGATTAAAAATATTGTAGAGGCAAGTTGGATTTTACTTCTCACTGCAGATATATCTGCTTTACATTAGACAGTTTACCATCTTTGCTGATTATCATTTTTTGTTTATTACAGGGACTGAAATAAGGATACTTGTGAATTAGAGTTGTCCTAAATTTAAATAAATTTATTTTAAACTATTTCTAGATGAGAGTTTGATACTTTTGATGATCTGTGATTTCATTAGTGGGTTTGCCTAAATCTGCCAGTGCAGATCAATACCAGCGTCAGTCATTTTTCATCTTACTAGACTCTTCTCCATGTAGTCCTTCATAGATTACTCACGTGCCTGTAGCATTTTATGATACATCAGATAATACATTTGGAGGTAGAAGGGCTCAGAGAGATCATCTCCTCCGTCCCCTCTGTGTTGCTCATGCCAGCTACGGGACCTCTCTGGGCCCAGAGAAGGGATTTGGCCAAGATCAGGCACAGATAGCAAGTGGCCAGATCAGAAGTCATGCCCAAGTCTGCTGACTCCCATCTTCCCATGCCCACACCTTTCCATGATTTTCACTCTCAGCTTTTCGGAGCACTCTCATTGCAGTAACAAGGTGGGTAGTAAAGTATAATCTTCATTTTACATTGAAGAAGCTAAGGCCCAGAGAGGTCTGGTAAGTGTCAGAGCCTAGGGGGGACGGCTCCAAGTCCAGTGTGCACACCACTGCCCCACAGTGCCTTACCAGAGGGCGAAAGGTCTTCCTCCTACTCTTTTTGTAGCAAGGATGCTGTTGTATCATTTGGATTATGCCTCTGTTACTTCTTATTGTTGATAGGTGACCAAGCTTACTTGCTTTTCCAAGTGCTCTTATCTTTAATATTGCTTTTTCTTCCTCTTCTTACATGTAGGTCATTGTTGGTAACATGTAGCATTTGCACACCTTCTAAACATTTCCACTGTCCTCGGGTTTTCTAGTCGTTTAAACTTTCCAGGGATTATGTTGTTCCATACTTTGCCAAAGTTGTATGTTTTAAACATGCATGAGGTTTTTACAGAAATCCATTTTTACACTTCTTTCCCCTTTTGGTTATATGATCCCTATGTATATATATATATAAATACATATACAGTATACAAAACTGGGAGAAACAACTAATATGTTGAATAATAGGATCCAAAAAAATCTACAGGCTAGAACATTGGGCCAAATCTAATAATAATAAATTTAATAGAAATAAATTTAAAGTCCAAAGAACCAACTCTATGAATACAGGATGGGAAACAAATAGCTATGAAACAGTATGCAAAATATCTAAGCATTGTAATGGGTTTCAAATTCAGTAGTTGTGGCAATAATGGAAAAAGTATTGAATTTGGAGTTAGGGCACTTGCATTTGAATCCTAGCTTTGCCACTTACTCCCTGTGTCAACTCAAACAGGTCACTTTTTTTTACCTACTTCACTTCTCTGGGCCTTGGTTTCCTCACCTGTGAGATGAAGGTGTTGAACTAGATCAGCAAGTGTTAAGTTTTTTTGTCTCCCGGACCCCTTCAGCAGTTTGATGAAGTCTGTGGATCCCTTCTCAGAGTAATGTTTTTAAATTAATTAAATAAAATGCATAGGATTACAAAGGAAACCAATTATAATGAAATGCAGTTATCAAAGGAGTTAAAAACATGTTCATGGACCCCAGATTAAGAACCACTGGACTAGATGATTTCTGAGGCTCCCTCCAGCACTAAATCTGTGTTCCCAGAACACTATGGCATGACCACCAGAAAAAAAAAAAAAGAACTCTATCTGTATTAAAAGGAGGCATAGTCTTCATTATGAAGGAGGTATACTCACTGTGCTTTTCCATGATCCAACCACACCAAAGTATCAGTTCAGTTCTAGATAGCATTTAGGAAGGACATTAACAAGAGAGCAGGTGACCAGGATGATGACAGGGCTATCGTCTATGCCATTTGAGACTAGGTTGAAGAAACCAAAGATATTTAGCTTGAAGAGAAGATTTTTAGGGGGATAGCCGACTTCAAGTTTTGGAAGGCTGTCATATGGAAAGAGACATTAGATTTGTTCTGCTTAGCCCCAGAGGGCAGAACAAGAAATAGTGGGTGAAAGAGAGAAGTAGAATTCACTTCCATGTAAGGAAAAACTTCCTCACAGTTAGTGTTATCCAGAAGTAAAGTGGGCTGCCTAAAGAGGTAAAAAGTTCCCCTTAAAGTATGGGGCAGAGAACTGCCTGTCAGAAGCAGAAGGGATTCCTACTCGCATGTAGACAGGACAAGGTGACTGCTGTGGTCTCTTTCAGTTCTGGTTCTGACTCTGTGTTGCAGTTTTGGTTGGTGGGTGGGTGCACCCACACTACAGAAATCACTTATCTTTTGAAGTATATAAAATTGGATATAGTGTGGGGGCCACAGAGCCACTGCCCTCTATAGTCCTCAGCCTCACCTGCTTCTCTCATTCTGGAGGCTCTCTATCCCATCATAAATGCAGATTAGTTAATATTATCCTTCCCACTGTCTATCTTGACTGCTTAGTTTATATCATTAATAACCCAATAGCTCCTGGCCCCAGGGCTGTTCTTACCATTTATCCATTTCTTTACCCATGAAATCTTAGATTTTGATAACCTTGGGCCATTACTGATAGTCAATTTAATTCAATAAACATTTATTAAGTATCTAAGCACACTCTTTAGCATTAGGGGACATCAAAAATTCGGATAAAAAGGGGAACTCACTTCTCATCAAATTCACATTTCTACTAGGCAGATTAAGACACCAACATTTTAAATTGTAATACACAGTTGTGCAAGAAGAGGTGCTAATAAATACATGTGAAGTTCAAGGTAGAAAGAAGTTCGGGGTTTGTTGAGTTTGGAGTCTGGAGCTGTGATTTCATCAGTGTAAGCTACTCAAATTTGGAAGTTCATTCCACCAGCATACATCAGCAACTTAAAAGTCTTAGATAGTCACCTGGATCTCAGAGCTTTGTGACTTACCTTTGGTCATAGAGCTGGTATATAGAAGAATTAACTTAAACCCAGGTCTTCCTAACTTCAGAGTCAGCTCCTTATCTACTTCAACATGCCACCTCTTAGAAGACTGTTAATAGTGAGGAATCAGAGGAGGCATCCTGGAGGAGGTGACATTTGATTTGAGATCACAGAAACCCTTTAATTTTTCCAAATAGGAAACCTGAAGCAAATTTACAAAACTTAACTCACATTTATTTGTGGTTTACAAGGCACGTTGCCCTAACAAGCCTGGAGGGTAGGTAATACAGTAGTTACTAGATGGGGAAGTCCTAATTAGATTAATTACTTCATACTTCAAGGATTCAATTCAATTCAACACATTTACTAAGTGCCTGTTTTGTGCAAGGTCCTGGGGTTACCAAGACAGAAATGAAATGTTCCTGGCCCTCAAGAAGCTTAAATTCTCCCGGTGGGCATACATCATTTACATAAATAAATAGAAAGTATATACAAAGTCATTTCAAGAAGAGATTGCTAATAAATGGGCTATGGGTGGGGCGGGGAGACAGCCTGTGATGCAAAGGCAGAGGAACAGGAGATGGAATGTTGTACACAGACTAATTTGACTGGAATGAAGAGTGAGTGAAGGGAAAGCATTTATTAAGTGCCTACTTAGCGCTGTGCTAAGTGCTTTACAAATATTATCTCACTTGATCCTCACAACATCCCTGAAAGGTAGGTGCTATTATGATCTCTATTTTACAGTTGAGGAAAAAACAGGTGGAATGACTTGCCCAGGGTCAGACAGCAAATCTTACTGACTCCAGGCCCAGTGTTCTTTCCATTGCATTACTTAGCTTCCCATGAAGGGTAGTGAAGTGAAATAAAATAGAAAGGTAGGTAGAACCCAGTTTGTGAAAAGATTTCTAATTCAGACTGGTTTTTAGATTTTAATCCCAAAGACAGTAGGGAGCCTTTGAAGGCATTTGTGGGGAGGGATATGATATTGTCAGATCTGCCATATGGATACCAGTTTGGCAGTTGTGTAGGAGATAGATTGGAGGGAGTTAGACTGGAGTCAGAAACCAGTAAGGGGACTATTGAATTCGTAATTGCAAGGGTGATGAGGATCTTATCCCTGATTTCATCAGGCATGGTACTCACTCTACTGGCATAGAATGAAACCCCTCTCTACATCTTAATAGAGTGTTTTCATGCAGTTATGTGAATGAATAATTCTTCATTTGGTAGCCAAATCAATGTTGATGAATCTCCTAGGGTGGGATTCAGATGACAGAATGATAGAAACAGTCTATCTCTGTGCCCATACTCAACTGTTTTCAGCATTTCCTACTTGGTTAAAATTTTCTAGAGGTTGAACTCCATTGGCACAGCCTTCAAGAGCCTAAAGGCATCTTCATGCAGTGAGGAGAGATCTTTAGTAGAAAAATTAGGTTAACCGGAAGTCTATCCACATAACCAAAATATTCTTAAATTTGCTTTTTTACAGCATTCTTCAACATCTAATTTCCTTATTTCACTTAAAGTATCATTTGATCTTTTTGTGTTATGGGTGCATGTAGCTGTATGTGTAACTTTGACACATGGTTGTAAGAGCCCTGGACCAGGAGTTAGGAGGCTCGTGGCATAATCCTGGTCCTGGCAACAACTAGATGATCCAACCTTGGACTAAGTTACTTCCATACTCTGAGCCTTTAGTTCTTTCTCTGAGAAACAAGAATAGATAGACTAGATATAGAAACACATTCTGTAGACCCAATATTGACATGGAAAACCACAAATTAGCATTATCTGTGTTGTATTGTATTTTTATTTATTTTGTTAAACATTTCCCAATTGCATTTTAATCTAGTTCTGGTTTGTGGCCCCATGGCAGCAAGTTTGACACCTCTGGACTAGATGATCTCATAAGGTCCCTTCCATCTCTGAAAGTCAATAGCTTTGATATGAAGTGAATTACACTTATGTTTTCCTGTTTTTCAACAGCTCTTCAGACTTCTCTGTCCATTGGAGATATCCAGTCTGACCCTACACAAGGGGTCCTGAATGAGTGTTGGTTAAGTAATTTGTATTCAACCAGTATTGAACACCTAGCATGTGCCATATTAGGTGCTGTAAAAGAGTACAAGAGAAAGTTTAAAACCCAGGACTTGTCTTGTAAGGATTTTAAAGTCTAGTTGGAAAGAAAAGACATATATATTAAGAAAATTAGTAAGCAGATATATGATAATCAGATTCAAAATATGTGCTAAAAAATAAGGAAACAGTAAAAACAATGTTGAGGGGATGGGGGGGGGGAACCAGTATGAAACAGCAGAAAAAAAGAGTATTAGCTCTGAAATCAGAGAACATGGTTTCAAACCTCTAATGCTTACCACCTTTTTGACCTTAGATAATTAGTGGCCCTTATCCTCCCTAGGCCTCAGTTTCCTCCTCTGTAAAATGAAAAGTTGGCTTAGATAGCCTTTGACACCCCCTCATACTTTAGCTCTATAATCCTAGTATGATGAAGTGGGGTGGCATTATTCAGGGAATGTATGGAATGGAAAGGTCACTCTTGAAAGCTGTGGTGAAATTCTGAGGGGACAGCTTAATAATGATAATAGTTTGCTTTTTATGGTTATAAAGTATTTGTAGTAGGAAGAGCTGGGTTGAAATCCCAGCACCAACACTTACTAGCTGTATGATGATGAACTTCATTGTCTTTATCTCTGAATGCGAAATAATAACACTAGCAAAGCCAACCTCACAGGACTGGAAGGGGCTCCCCAAATCTCAAAGCTGTCACATAAAAATATGAGTCATTATCTCATTTGAGCTTTGGTAGTGACAAATGGGGACATTTGAGCTTTGATAAGGACAAATGGGGAAACTGAGGCTCTTGAGAGGTAAAGTGAGTTGCCCAAAGTTAAATGACTAACAAATGGGAGAACTCGGACTTGTTCCCCATCCTCACTCCCAAGTCTAGTGTACTTTCCACTTGCAAATATGTTCAGTGTAAAGAAGAAAGACTTACTCAATGTAAAGAGACTAGGTCTAATAAACCATGTTGAGAAATGAGACAAAAGAATTTGGAGAGGTATCTCCAAATGATACAAGGCTGAAACTTGAAATAATAAGCTTTAGAAAGCCATTGTATTGTCTTTATGTGGGAAAATAATGTCATTTATTATTGGTTTATTTGGAGAGATAATTTCAGAAGTGCTGGCAAGTACTAGGATAGGAAGATCCATGAAGAAAAGGAACCCATTAGGGGAGTGTTTCATTTAGCTGGAATAGAAAGCCATCAGGGGAGACACAAAAAGAGGAATGAAAAGATGATATGACCAAGAGAGCACAGAGTCATGGAAGCCAAGGGAAGAGCATTTTGAGGAAGTGATTGATGGTGTTGCCAAATGTGGCAGGGAGAGAAGGGGACAAATTTAAGAATCACCAAATTTCAAAGTTAGAAGGAATCTTAGACCACTCTAGTCCAATCCAAGTTCCAAAAGGAAAAAAAAAAATCTCTTCTACGGTATTCTGGACAAATGGTCATCCAGTTGGGGAAGGCCTCCCCTTAAGGGGAGCTCACTATTTCATACTAAGGCAGCTTATTCTACTTTAGAATAGCTTGAATTGTTAGGAACTTTTTCATTATATCAAATTAAATTTGCTTCTTTGAAATTTCCATTGATTGCTCCTAGGTCTGTCCCCTCAGACCAGATAAAACAAATCTCATGCCTCTTCACATGAGAGCCCTTGAAATATTTGAAGACAGCTCTAAGAGACATTGTAATGGAAGAATTTTAGTAGTAACTGCTCAGATTTCTGAGGGGAAAAGGGAAGGAGAAAAATGAGACAAAGATAACTTCATGTTTAGAAACTGAAAATACCATCCCACCAAATTGCTCCTTACTAGCTCATCTAAATTCCCTCTGATTTCTAATAACAGTTCTCTCTCTCTCTCTGGCTTGAGCTTACCTCCAGACTTTGTGCTTATCCTCTAATATCCTTACTCATTGTTCTTTGTCTTCTCTAGTCAAAAGTCTTGTGTCATTTTGTCTGGATTCACATTATTTTATGTCCAAAACACTCGTCATTCCACCATAACATCGCTCTTCTACTCTACTTTACTAGCTTTTCATCAATTTATAAAATAAGTTTTGAAAGTTATCAAAATCATGGGACCCTCTTGGATGTCACCATCAATTTGTAGAGGGAACTTAATAGCTGTCTTCCAAGTATTTGAAGTTTTGTCAAGTGGAAGAGGTTAGATTTATTCTCCACAGCCTGGAGAGCATAAGTGAGAGTGATGGCTAGGACTTGCAAGACGAATTTCAGCTCAGGAAAAGCATCCTAACATAGCTGAACAAAAGGAAACGGTTTGCCTCTAGTGGTAGGGGGTTCCCCACAACTGGAGATCTTCAGGTAGAAGGTAGACCACTTGTCAAGGACATTATAGAAGGGAACCTCATTACTAGATGCACTCAACTTCTGAGGTCCCTTCCAACTCCATGATCGTGCATCAGATAGAGGATTGCACTACACGGCCTGTACAGTTACTTCCAAATCTAAGGCTCTTTGAAATTACGATTCTATAATTGTCATCTGTCTCCATCAATTTCCTTCCCCTCCTACTTCCAATTAGAGAACAGGTGACTTTTTTTTTTTACTTTCCATTTATAATTTCAGATTATAAGACCAGGACTGACAACAAGTTACTGATCCCAAAGCAGGAAATTTCTGAAGAAATAGAATCTTGTGGAACAATATCAGAAATACTCCAAACAGATGTTCTCCAGAAACCCAAATGTGGAGAAAACTATGAACTTCAAAGCAGGTTAGATAGTCAGGTGGGAATCTCGGCTGAGAAGAGATGGAGAAACTCCCTTTCCCAGCAGAGAAAGACACAGGTCACAGTCATGCATGAAGAAACCCCAAGAGATGAGAGAGGCCATGAATGTACTGGATTTGGGAGAAATTTCAGCCTGAACTCAAACCTTGTTATAAAGCAGAGAGTTCCTACAGGTGTGAGACCTCACAAATGTGATACTTGTGGCCAGAGCTTTGGCCAGCGCTCAGTCCTTATTCAGCATCTGAGAATTCATACTGGAGAGAAACCTTTTGAATGTAATGAATGTGGGAGAGCATTCAGCCAGAGATCTGAAATTATTAGGCATCGGAGAATTCATACTGGAGATAAACCCTATGAATGTAATGAATGTGGCAAAGCATTTAGTCACAGATCAACCCTTATTGAACATCAAAGAATTCACACTGGAGAAAAGCCCTTTGAATGTAATGAATGTGGGAAAGCTTTCAGAGGAAGGTCAGACCTTATTCGGCATCAAAGAATTCACACTGGAGAAAAACCCTATCAGTGTAATGAGTGTGGAAAAGCCTTTAGTCACCGATCTGTCTTTATTGCACACCAGAGAATTCACACTGGGGAGAAACCTTACGAATGTCATGAATGTGGCAAGACCTTCAATTGGAGCTCAAGTCTTTTCCAACATCAGAGGGTCCATAGTGGAGAGAGACCCTATGAATGTAATGAATGTGGGAAAGCTTTTACACAACTTGCAGTTCTTATTGATCACTTAAGAACTCACACTGGGGAAAAACCTTATGAATGTAATGAATGTGGGAAGGCCTTCAGTCATGGCTCAAACCTTCTTCAGCATCAGAGAATTCATTCTGGCGAGAAACCATATGAATGTTGTGAATGTGGAAAAGCCTTCTGTCACAGCTCAAAACTTATTCAGCACCAGAGAATTCACACCAGAGAGTGACTCAATGTAGTGGAGAATTCCCAAAAATTACTTTGGTGCAAGACCCTATTAAAGATTATAAGTTCAAGGGCAGGGCCAATTTTTGTCTAACTTTCTGTAGCACCTAACCTGGTGCCACGTGCAGAGAGTTTAATAAATGTTTTTGGTTGGCTAAAATGATAAATAACTTTGAGTGACAGTTCCCCCAAGTGGTCATCTCCCCACCAGAGAATGTACAGCTGAAGTATTCCTTGGGAACATAGAGGGGTGACATTCTAACCTCAGAATCATTTATTCTCGATCAAAAATTGACACAAATTGGGCAGGACAGCTCTACTGCTTTCCTCGTAGGCCCCACTGAGAGAAAATGACACCACCCCTGTCCAAGGCAGTTTGGAAGATAATGAGCCTAGTTTTTGATGTTAAGTTGAGATCTATTGGTGGGATATTTAAGTGAAGATGGCCTACAGACAACTGGATTTATAGAACAAGGCTAGAGACACAGATAAAAAGAGGCAACTGCATATAGGGGGTACCCATATGGTGGAGTCATGTGAGTGGGCTGGCTTCCCCAATATATAGGGTAAGGCAGAAGATCCAGAAGAGAATGAAGAGGTTAGTGATAAGAGATAAGGCTCAAACATCAATAGCTAACCTCACACTTTAAGGTTTGCAAAGCACTTCACATATATTATCTCATTTTGATCATCACAACAATCTTAGAGGTGGGTATTATTATTATCATCCCCATTTTATAGATGAAACTGAGGCTAAGAGGTTGTGACTTACCTAGGTTCACCACTAGTAGTTTCTGAGGCAAGATTTAAACTGAGGAGTCTTCCTGACTCCCAAGTATAGCACTCTATCCAGAAGAATTCAGTCAAGGAAAGATCAAGCAAGAAGGGAGAGGCTGAAAGTTGTGTCTTGAAATCAGTTAATTAACATTTATTAAGTGTCTACCAGATGTCACATTATGCTAAGTTCTGGGGATCCAAGAGTGGAAAGAGTTCTGAGACAAAGGTTGCTGGTTTTTGTCCTTCTCTTTTTTTTCTTTTTGGTTAGGCAGTGGGGTTAAGTGACTTGCCCAGGGTCACACAGCAAGTAAGTGTTATGTGTCTGAGGCCGGATTTGAACTTGGGTCCTCCTGAATCCAAGGCCAGTGCTCTATTCACTTTGCCACCTAGCTGCCCCTTTCTCCTTCCTTCTCAAAGAGGACCATGACATCAGGAGGGTGATGCTGTGACACGCAGGAGAATTGGATTTAAGTGAGAGACGGCTGTGCTGAGTCACTAGCTTCACTTTTGCCTCTGGAGCCATCTGGGTCCAGTGGCAAGATCAGGACAACTGGAGATGGCTCAGGATTTAGTGGGGGACCTTGGCCTTTTCAAGCTAAGGTCCTTAACAGGTCTCAGTTTGACTGAGGCAAAGCCTATTCAGTGATTAAGGCTTGATAAGAAATCAAGCAAAGAATGGCCTTTAAAAAAAAATAGATCTGGGAGGGGAGTACCCTCAGGGTTTCTGGCCAAAACAGAAACAATTGCTATTTACATTCACTCTGAGCAGATCAGATTCAAACCCTGACCAAATAGGGCTTGGCCTGGGACCTATTATTGGCCAAAGAGAGCCAGAGTGATTTGGAGTTAAGGCTGGTCTTTTTAAAAAAAAAGTTTCAGAGATTGAAAATTTACATTCCCTTTGGCCAGAGTACCCAGCAGGTAAGGGTACAATACCCTATGTGGCCTGAGGGAAAGGAAAGGAAGAAAGAGAGAAAGCTGTGTTGCCCAACTGACCAGTTCCAGTTTGGTGGAACAGTGGGCAGCTCTTTTTCTACTCTCAGAGGTTGCTGTTTGTCCTTCGTTCTCAAAGAGGACCATGACATCAGGAAAGTGATGCCATGACAGAATTGGATTTAAGTGAGGGAAGCTGTGCTGAGTCAACAGCCTCCCTTTCACCTCTGGAACCATCTGGGTTCAGTGGCCAAATCAGGACAACTGGAGATGGCTCAGGATGTAGTGGGGCACCTTGGCCTTTTCAAGCCAAGGTCCTCAACAGGTCTAAGACAAAGGGAGCAATTGTTAATATGGAATGCAGCAGGGAAGTCAAGAAGCATAATGGAAGAGGAGATCATTTGACCATATCATCAGAACCTCTGTTCATTTCAGCATTCATTAAACATCTGCTGTGAGTAGAGCACTGTCCTAGGCACTGGGGGAGATAAAAAGTTTAGAGGAGATATGTTTCCAGCCCTCATAGACTTTGAAGGCTAGTAGAGGGATAAGACACACAGTTAACTAAAATGCACATGAGGGAGGAAGTGACATTTGAAAATGATTTTTAAAATGAGAGTAGGAATTCAATGGTCAGGGTAGAGCATTACTAGCAAGTGAAAGGGAGGAAGGTGAGATTGGGTCCTTTGTTTTAGCTGGAGTTACTGTGAACTGAGAAGTACTCTGAGGTGAAGCTTGAAAAATAGATCTGTGCCAGACTGCAGGACCTTGAATGCCAAAGGAGTTTGGATTTTACTCGGTGATAAGAAGCCACTGAAGGTTTTGTTTTTTAAAAACAAAATCACATGACCATATGATCCTGTGAGAATTTATGAAAAAGATTACTCTGGGAACAGCAGGAAGTACAGATTGGAGTGGTAAGTGAGTGGAGTTGGCTAGACCTGTTCAGAGACTATTGCAGCAGTCAGTATAAACAGCAATGAGATCCTACACACTAGGTTAGTAGCAGTAGGACTAGATATGATGAGGTGGAATCAACTAGATTAGTAGCTGGATTTTAGATTCAAAGATAAGCCCAAGGTTACAAACTTGGTGAATAGTGTTACCAGTGATAGGTGTCAGTAGAAAGTGAAGCAGATTTAAGAGAATGACCATCAGTCAGCTTTAACTTTTAGAGAAAGAACAGCCCTTACCCAAGAAGCAATTTGGTTGTCCGGATGAAGTATCAGACACTGTGGTATAAAGGAAGGAGCTTTGGATGTGACATCAGAAGACTTAGATTTCTGTCTTGGCACTAACACTACCTGTGTTACCGTGGTTGATAGAGCCTTTCTGAACGTCAATTTCTTCATGTAAAATGAGGATAATGATTTAGAGTTGAAAGGGACCTTAAAGACTATATAGTGTATAACCTTTTCTTGTTACAAATGAGAAAACTGAGGCTAAAGAGTTTAGATGGCTTACCCAAGGTCAGTAACCAGAGGAAACTGGATTTGATCCCTGGTCCTGTGACTCCTATCCTAATGCTGAACTGTCATCTTGCTTGAGCGAAAGTGAAACAGTGGCTCTACACACTGGTGAAAGTGATTCATTCAAATGAGAAAGTTAAAACTAGAGTCACTTTCTACCCTGTGAGTTGTTAAGAAAAGCATACTTTGCTAAATTACTATAGAAATGTAAGTTATTAAATCACATGAAATCACATATTTATAACAGGTCTACAGTGCTTTATAAAAGAAGCTATGTGAAAAGATGGAGTTGTTATTCTTTATTTAAGGTTGGGGGCATCATAGAGGAAAGAGAAAGATAAACGACCTCCAGGTGAACCCTGGAGGGAACTGAGGTGGGGAGTAAAATAATACCCCTATATTCAAGGTTTTATTGGAATGAACCTGAAGAAAGATAAATGGAGGTGTTCAAGGCGTCAAGGACTGGAGCAGTCTGCGGATTTGAGAGAAGGATGTGTTTACCATGGTGGGGGACAGGGAGAGCAAATTGGTTGAAAGATAAAAAGCTTCTTAATATTAAGTAGTTGACTTGTAGTTTTTACATTCTATTTGCTTCCCAAACCTGTAAGTGTAGATAGTACAGTAATTTTGATCTGAAGTCCCTTCCAGCTCTAAATATAGGATTTCTATAATCCCCATTATACACAGGAGAGAAAGAAAGAGGTTAGGTGATTTGCCCAAGATCACACAGCCATAAATGGGCTGGAACTCAAGTCCTGGTCTTTTCTTTCCATTATCACACTCAGAAACCCCAGAGGAGAGGTTGGTGAGAGGGGGGAGGTAGAAAAAGTGTTCCCACACTTCAGCTCTCTGGTCTTCTCTTCACTCCCACTTCAGTTTCCCATCTGCCCTGCATTTTCTCATTTACTTTCCTTCCCTTTCATTTAATTTAACAATCATTGACCTGCAAAGGCCAAGGCACTGTGTGTCAGTGAGGATAGGGAAGGGGCAGCAGTTTGTAGGACTTGAGGGGGATCTGGGTTTGGGCCCAGCTCGGCTACTTAATTATAATAATAGTTGACACATAGCCTTTTAATGTTTACCAAAAAACACATAATTTCCTTTGAGCCTCACAATCCTGTCAAGTGACTGCTATTATTAACCCCATTATACAGGATAGGAAATTGACTCCAACAAGGTTCAGTGCCTTGCCCAGGTCACAACACTAGTAAGCTATGGAGGTGGAATTTGAACCTAGGTGAGCTGGCTAGTGTGGTCTTGGGCTGCATTAATAGAAATAGAGGGTCAGAGTGCCACATGTGACAGCCCTGCCGTATTTCAGGTACAACACTACAGGTGTGTCAAGTTATAGGCACCACGTACATGTTAAGAAGGACAAGTATAAGTTGGAGAGGTTCTAGAGGAGGGAGACCAGAATGGTGATGGAACTAAAAACTGTCACACCTGGATCATTTGAAAGACCAAGCTGATCTGGCTGAAGGGGAGAGAAGTGGAGATACGGCAATTGACTTCACGTAGTTAAACTGCTGTCATGGCCAAGTCCATAAGCATTTATTAAATGTCCCTACTATGTGTCTGGCACTTTGCTAAGTGCTGGGAATACACAGAAGGGGGAAAGGGGAGAGAAGGGAAATTGGCCGTTCTGCTAGACCCAGGCCAGCACAGGTGCGCATGGCAGAGGCAGGTATCAGCCCCATCCCAGCCAAATTTGCCCCGAGTTGGAGCCGTCCAGAAGTGGCATGAGCAGCCTCGCGGGGAGGGGAGAGGTGAGGTTCTTCTAGCGAGGATAACTGTCCCCTCCACCACCACCCCTCTCCACACTTCACCAGGTATTACCCTCTATTGGCTCACATTCTTTCTTCCCTCCTTCTCTGCTCCTGAACTCCGCCCTCCCCCTGCGCGGGAGGAGCAGACGGTCCTCCCGACTTCCTAGAGGGTCGCCGGGAGGTGGGAAGGAGTGGGGTGGTTACCCAGAAAAAGCAGTAACGCCGATCCTGGACACCTCGGCCTCCGCGCCAGCACTAGCTGGAGTCGAGGATGAGTCAGGTGCGGAGGGGTGGGGGGTCGGAGGGAAGCCTGCGCCGTCCAGGGTCGCTCCTTCCAGGGGCCGCGCTCACCTGGCTGGAGTTCAGGTGCGTGCTCCCCTGCCTCCTGCCACGCTTCCTCTGAGCTCTGGGCCCGCCCCAACTGCCCTGCCTTCTTGGAGCTTTGGCCCCGCCCCTTCGGAGCTCTAGCTCCGCCCTGCTTCCACCTCTGGGCCCCGCACCGACTCTGCCCCGCCTTCTTGGAACTTTGGCCCCGCCCCCTCTGAGCTCTTGCCCCGCCCTGCCTCTACCTCTGGTCAGGTCCCCTTTGAGCAGGAATCCCACCCAGACCCTCGACTTCAAACTTGCTTTACTAAGGCCCCTTCTCCCGGTACACCTACCCCCACCCCATCTCCCGCTGTCCCGTCTTTGTCTGTCGTTGTTGTTCAGTCATCTCAGTCGTGTCTGACTCTTCGTGATCCCATGTGGCGGTTTTCTTGGCAAAGATACTGGAGTGGTTTGCCATTTCCTTCTCCAGCTCATTTTACAGATGAGGAAACTGAGGCAAACAGGGTGAAGTGACTTGCCTAGGGCTCTATCCACTGCACCACCTTGCTGCCCCCCCCCAAAAAAAGATACTATCCACATTTCCTCTTCCCATGCCTCCTTTCCATACTTTGCTATGGAGAAATGAAAAGCATTTTAGTTTTTTTTTTCCTTCATTTAAATTCAGTCACTCAATCAATAAGCATTTATTAAGTATCTATTATGTTCCAGGCACAGTGCTGTTCTGGCACAGGGGAAGATGAAATGTTTAGATAAAATATAGTCTCTCCATTTATGGAATGTGTAGTTTAGTAGGGGGATAAAACACATGCAGAAATAAGTGTAATAATAACACATTGCTGCCTGAAGGCTGAGGTAGTTATTGACCAAGGGGATTTTTAAGAAAACTTCACAGAGGAGATGATTTTTGGAGTTTAAATCATGGGTAGGAATTATAGCGGGGATAGCAAGGTGGGACAGTGGAGAGCGCACCAGATCTGGAGTCAGTTCAAGTCCAACCTCAGACCCTTACTAGTTGTGTGACTCTGGGCAAGTCAATTAACCCTATTTGCCTCAGTTTCCTCATCTGTAAAATAATCTGGAGAAGGAAATGGCAAATTACTCCAGTATCTTTGCAGAGAAAACCCCAAAATGGGGTCACAAAGAGTTGGACGTGATTGAACAAAAAAATCTTTTTTGTACTATCGGTCCCTAAAATGATTAGTATTTTTATTCTGTTATGGTCTATAAAGGATGCATTTACTATTCCTGCCTTTTTACACTTATTTGCAATATCTTTGTGCCCAAATACATGGTCATTTTTATAAAAGTTCCATATGGTGCTGAGAAACACATATTCTTTTTCAGTCTCATTTAGAATGTATCATATCATTTAGCTCTAGTTTCTCCAGCAATTTGTCCAGTTCTGTATTTTCCCTTTTGTTTATCTTTGTGTTAGACACATCCAAAATTGAGAGCATGTTAAAATTTGTCATTACTGGGTTACTTGTCTAGGGAGATAAGAATAAGGAATGGGGAAGGGGAAGTAAGGAATGGAGTTTGGATGAAGCCCTACAGAAATTCAGAATAACTGAATCCTAACTTCCCCTGAACTCCTTGACAGCAGGGGCTGTCTTTTGCCTTCTTGGTATCCCTAGCACTTACACAAGTATACCATGCCCGGCATATAATAGATAGTTAAAAATTATTACTGACTTACAACTGATTGACTTCTGAACTTATGCCCTGGGGTGATTTAATTTACTCAGTTTTGGAACTCCCATCCCTTTTTAATCAATTAACATTTATTAAACACCTATTTGTAAGAGGGCAGACTATCCAGAAGGATGGTCCTACCATAATGAGAGGTTATTGAGATATGGAAGAAAGAAGTAATCTATGCCAACATGGTGATATGTAGGTGTAGGTTTATTAGGAGAGTTTACTCACAAGACCTGCCATGGTTCGGCAGTGATGGGGTGATGGCCCAGACTACTTCCATATACTGACCACTCCTTAATCCCACCTAGATCACCTAATTAGCCTACTGGATCTTCCTTTCACAGTCCTGTTTGCATGTAAGCATCAACACCATCCTCATTAGTTTGCAGGTTCTATAGGAACTTCGAATGCTTTATGGGCTTTGCAATAAACTTTTCCACTTGACTGGAAGATGGTTTGAGTGTGTGAATTCATTCCAGGTGCCACCACCCTGTACCCTGATATTTCAGAGTTCCCAGCACCCCTAAACCACATCAGCAACAGGACATAATGGTGGATCCCTAGCCACACTTAGGCCAGGCCAGATATTATATAGAAACAGAACAAAGAAGGCTTACTGCCAAGAGATGGCCTGTGGTCACATGGGTGGGTACATGAACATTTTTCCTTGGAAGCAGTTTTACTGTTTATAATAACCATGATGCCATAGGTCACATTCTCAAGCTCTTGTTCCCACCATACAGTATTCTAAATATTTAAGAAATAGTTTAGCATTTATTAAATAAATTAAGATTAAATACCTAACTGCCAGTGGTAAGTCAGACAGTGCAAAGGCACAGAACCTTCTCTATGTAGCCATCCCAGACACTAGGCCATGCTTCACCTCCCACACCATCCTATACCTTTCCCACCCTTACCTCCCTGGTGCCTCCTTGAAGCACTGTTTTGCCCTCCTCCTACCATTTAATCTCTCCTCTTCCTCTTCCTTTTCCACCTTCCCTTCCTCTTTTACATCTTTTCCTCTAACCCTCTCTTTCATCTCCCTTCCCTTTTCCATTCCTTGCTGGGACCAGAGATCAATCACTAGCAATGCTTCTGAACATGGCTTATCCATGAACGCTCTATGGCTGTCCTATGTATGTGTCTCGGTGACTTCCCAACCTCCCTTCTCTGGCCATCGCTTCCTCATAAGCGACGCCTCCCACCAACGCGAATATAAGCGCCTTGAAGACCGGTTTTGGATTTGTATCCCCAGTGTTTAGCACGGTGCCTAGCACCCTTAATTAATGTCTTTCATTCTTCAACAACATTCATTCATTCATTCATTCACAAATGTCCACAAGTGAACCGGGTTCCTAGGGAGTTGGCCCCTCCTCTCCCCTGAAGGCTTCAAGCAGAAGCTGGATGTCCATTGGTGGGGGGGTGACGTACAGCAGCTCGGCCCCGCCCCTCGGGTGCAGACATCCAATCCCAAAGAGTCCAGTCCTCCCGCCTTCCTAGAGCGGTCCCTTGCCCTCAGGTGGTTCCGCTCCGGGGGCCCGTGGTCGCTAGCCCATTTCCGGCCAGGGTCTCTGCTGGGAGTCCGGGGAGTTAGGAGATAGTGTCAGTGTGTGAGTCTCCTTGTCCGCCAAAGCGCCCTCGGCCCCCAGCTTTGCCGTTATGTCCCGGTAGCCTCTGCTACCGCCGCGGGCGGGGGTGAGGCTGGGGAGGTCTGCGGCCTCCCCCCCCCCCCCCCCCCCCCCCCCCCCCCCCGCAGAGCCGGGGTGGGCGGGGCCGGGGTCTGGGGAACAGGGGGAAGGGTCTCCTGAGGTCAGCCTGCTCTTGACTTTGAGTCCAGGCACCTGATGTCCGCGGGCCTCAATTCTTTCATTTTACAAACGAGGGAACTGGATGAACGTTTTATCTCTACGTTCCGCCCACTGTGACCCGGGACAAACGCTGTGTGACCCTGGGTGAATTCAGAGAACCGCCCCGTGGTCTCCTCTGTGCTTGAACCACCTGCCTCAGATATACAAGTGAGGGAGTATTCCTGCTGCTCCTTATAATACTGGGGAGATTAGAAGGGACCGGAGACTGAGCCGTCCAAGTGCAGAGTTCGTGATAAAACTGAAAATCAGTTTAGATATGGCCCAGTGAGGCTTGATTAATCTTTGTATCTGGAATGACCCCCGGAATCCTGGAGACCTGATGCCCAAGAATTGGAACTGATCTTAAGAAACTGACGATTCAGACCTGTTGATCCAGAGAGAGGGGTCATCTTCAATTCAGAAATGTCTCCTATCCCAATTCTGGAAGACGCTCAGGTTTGAGACAAGGTAGTTTGGAGTCAGAAGCATATTTGACCTTTGACACCTCTCCCTGTATGATCTTGGGCTTTCCTGGTCTGAACAGTAAGAGAAAGAAGTATACATCCTTTAGTCATCAAGGCATCAGAAGCAAGTGACTAGAGACTTTCTGAAAGAAATGTGAAAAGAAACAGAAAAGTAAAAGATCATTCATGTCTGTTTAAAAAACCTGCTCATTTCTCAAAAGTAGAAATAATCTGCTCAGGAGACTTTAAGAACAACAGCGTAACTTGGTCATATGTGATATATGTTGTACCCTGATACCCTTGAGAAATGAAAGTATCCCGCTTTGCCTGGTCCTGTGTCCCTAGAGGATGAGTCTTCTAAGGTTTTGACTAAGAAGTCGTTTGCCATAATGTTCTTAGCTTATGGTTTTTAATCATCCCCAGGAAACTGCAGGGAAACAAGGGTCCTATAAGCATCTCGTAAGTTAGTGCCTGCTTTACCTGCCATCGGCCTTTCTTTGAAGACCTCTTGGACACCACCACCAGAAGGTTCTTTTACCTCAAGGATCATCAAGGTAGCATTTGTCTTCTCCATCGCTAAGCTTCTTCCTCTCAGACAGCAACCTCCTTGTTTGTCTTACTACCAGCTTCTGTGCACTATGACCCTCTGCCCTCTTTATCTACCTTTTCTTGACACTTTAGCCTCCTTACTACCCTCCTTACAATCCTTATCAGTAAGTATATTAAGGCCCAGAAAGGGGAAGGGCTATGTCCAAGGTCACACACGTAGTAAATGGCAGAGCTGGGATTTTAATCCAGGTATTCTGACGAAATCTAGCTCTATGATCCTTACTTCTCAGTTCTGTTCTCCTTCAAACTTCCTGTTTTGAGTGTACTAGCATCACTCTAATCACCAAGGTTCACAACTTCAAATTCATCTGCTCTTCCTCTCCTTAACTTCCACACACTGCACACATCCTATCAGCTATTACATCTTGTCAGTCCTATCTCCATAACATCTCTCTGTTTACATGACTACTAAACTCATCACATTTCACCTGGACTGTTGCAGTAAACTGCTAATTGTTCTCCTTCTAATCATTTTTCCCTCCAATCCATCTTTCACACAGTTGTGAAAATACTTTTCCTAAAGCACAGTCTAATCATGCCATTCCCCTGCTCAAAAATCTTCACTAGCTTCCTATTATCTCTAGGATAAAAGGCAAACTCCTCCACTTGCCATTTAAAGCACTACATAATCTGGCTCCAGCCTTATTTCACATTATTCTCCTTCACAAACTCTATTTTAGTCAAAATGGTCTATTTGCTGTTTCCCAAATTTGGCATACTGTTTCCTATTTCTATGCCTTTGCACAGGCTGTCCCCCATTCCACCTCCTAATCACCACCTTTTTAGAATCCCTAACTTCACTAGTCACCTTGAGTGCCGTTTTGAACAAGAAGTTTTTCCTCAATCTCCTTAGTTGTTAGCATTTTTTGCCTCCTCAAATTATCTTTTATTTACTTATATTTACAAGTCGTATTCCTCAGTAGAATGTAAACTCCACAAGGCAGGTACAGTTTTTCATTTTTGTCTTTGTATCCCTAATACTTGCTTAATAAATACTTTTATTTGAATTGAGGCCTGTGAAGGAGAGTGAATGCCAGAACAGGGCATCCAAAAGACCGGCAGTAACAGAAGAATGTCTGTAGAAAATTAAGGTTTTCATAAAGCAGATATCTGAACTCAGGAAGATAGGCAGGCACTTGGGCTAGGACATACAGAAGACATTGTAACCTAAGGTATGGTTCAATGATTTTACTAATCTTTACAAAATCTTTACTAGATTTAGAAAATAGTAAAAGTATAAGACCAAAGGCATAGATCCCTGAACTGGCTCCACAAGGAGAACTGGTATCCTGGGAAGTTAAATGGATTCAGAGCTCTAAATTCCAGTACTGGATCCTTCAAAATACTATAAAAGGTGATGGGTCCAGCTTTAGTGTCAGATTTATGCTCTAGTTCTCAAAGGTATGTTTTAAGACATTTACTCTTAGTAACCAAGTAACATACATCTCCTATAGATAGGGAGCATATCTAAATTTACATGAGATTCATATTTCCATGTCAAGTTCATCTCTGAGGCAGCAGAAATATGTTGTTTCAGGAGATGGTGACCTTTGAGGGTGTGACTGTGTATCTTACACAGAAGGAATGGGGGAGTCTGAAACCAGCTCAAAGGGACCTCTGTAAGGATGTGATGATAGAGAACTATGGGAACCTTGTCTTCCTGGGTAAGAATTCTTCACTATAATGACCTTTCTTAAACTACTTCCCTCTGGGAACAGATTTGGAAACCTCTTTCAGAAAGCCTACAGGTCTGTCTGTACCCATTAGGTGCTTAATAAGCATGTCGTTAATTATAGGATGCTAGAGAAATATGAAAACTTTTCCTCCTTGCATAATGACTTATTCCTCTTATGACTCAGAATGTTAACCATTCCTGAACTACCTCCCTTCTGGGTACATATTCAGGAACACCATGCCAGACAGATGTGTTTCTTTCTCTGGAACTTTCTATCATGTTATCAGTAATCTTTTCCATGTTCCCCTACTTGTCCCTTACAGACCTTGGAGCTAGCTCTAAGCTCTGAGAAAGTTCTGGTTTCTCAGACAGATAAGCACATTCCATTTCCTTCTCCGTGATCAGGATTTCTACTCCCCAAACCTGATGAAGTGGAAGAGCCATGGGTCCAGGATATGCAGGGACCTGAGGAAAGAGAGAGTTCAAGAGATGCTTATCGAGGTAAGTGGTGAGAACCAGCCATATTATTGAGTCAGAAGAACAGAACAAACATTTGTTATGTCATTATACAATTGAAAATATTCAGTTTTGGGGGCAGCTAGGTGGCGTAGTAGATAGAGCTCCAGCCTTGGAGTCAGGAGGACCTGAGTTCAAATCTGGCCTTAGACACTTGATACTTACTAGCTGTGTGACCCTGGGCAAGTCACTTAACCCCAATTGCCTCAGCAAAAAGCAAAAAAAAAAAAGAAAATACTCAGTTTTGCTTCATACTTCTGCCTCGGGGTAAACACAGCATAGCTCAAACAGAATTCCCAGTTTCTTCTTTTGAGGTCACTATTTGACCAGCTGCTGTCCTCAACTCTTGCAGACTGTCTTGTCAGTCCCTCTTATTACCCCTGCCCCAAACTTCCTTTCATAAATTCCATTATATTTCATTTCTTCCTTTGCCCAAATTGTTTTCCTATATATACTACCTCCCAGATTATTCTTGACTTTCATTTTCCTCATTTCCTTGTCTACTTCACATATTCCCTAGGGAATGTCGGACTTTGTACCCTCATGTGAGGTCCCTATTGGAGAAAAAGCCATAAAACATAGTAAGAAGTGAAAGCTATAACTTAAACACTCTGACCATGGAAACCCAGATATGGTGACCAGTGAAAATCATAACTCAGATACTTAGTCATAACTCAGATAATGTGACCAAGTAATAATCATAACATGGATACGGGACCAGTTCGTGCCAGTATATAATCAGTACACAACCCTGTATTTGGGCATTTACTCGATAACATTGACATAACACCCAAGCTGAGAAATGAGCTCATTACTAAGCAGAAAACTGAAAATATCCACCAGTGAGTAGCGATATACTCTATAGGTCCTCCTCCCTTTGTTTCCTATAATTATCACTGGGCTTTCCTGGGGTCTTTGCGGAAATGGATCCATTATTGAGACTGTTTTGTCTGGCAGCCATCCCAGACTGGCCCCTAAGTAATCCTATTGATTAAACTACTATCTATAATCAATCTGGAGCTCCCAGCCACTTTCTTCAGTATAAAATTAACTCCTTTTTTGGGCGAAGCTGAGAATATCCCAGTGCAAGGGGATATCGGCCCTTGGAAAGGTACAGAGTTCCCCAGTCAGAGGAATTCTGGACCTTACACCTCATTAAAGAACTCTCTCAGTTATTTCCCTTTGCCCTCTTTCCTAGATATTGTAGCCATTTTAGTTATATCTGCTCCTCTCCACATCCTTTTTACTGATTGCTAGGACTTTTCAAGAGCTTTTAAACCTGCCTTCTCTGCATTCATTTCAGTTTGATATTTCTACTTCTCTTGCAGATCACTTTATTCATTCCTCTCAAAAGAAGTAAATATTTGTATTCTTAATTCCAGGTCCTAAAAATAGATCTGATGATGAGAATTTAACTCCAAGCCAGGAAGTTTCTGAAAATGTAAAATTACATGGAAAGGTATCAGAAAATTTCCCAAAAGATGTTTCCCATGTCCCAAGTTTAGAAATCTTTGACCATGAAGGCAATATAGAGATGAGAAATACCAGAGAACAAAATCAATCTATCTTGCAGCAGGGAAGTTCTCAACAAGTAGAAGGCTTCCAAGAGAAAATAAGTAGAAGAAAGGCAGTAAATGTCAAGAATTTGACAGAAACTTCCTTGGGAAGTCTAGCTTCATTATGTATCAGAGGGTTCTTATAAGAGAAAGAGGCCATCATTGTGACATATGTAGCCATAGTTTTTCCCCATCATTCAGCCCTTATTCAACATCAGAGAATTCATATTAGAGGGAAGCCTTATGAATGTAATTACTGTGGGAAAACCTTCAGTCAAATTGCAGATGTCACAAAGCACCAAATAACTCACACTGGAGAGAAACCATATGAATGTAATTACTGTGGGAAAGTATTCAAACAAAGCTCAGATTTTACTAAACATCTAAGAATTCATACTGGGGAAAAGCCCTTTGAATGTAAAGAATGTGGAAAAGCTTTTAGTAACAGCTCAGATGTTGTTATTCATCAGAGAATTCATACTGGAGAGAAGCCTTATGAATGTAATGAATATGGGAAAGCATTCAATCAAAGTTCACATCTTATTCAACATCAAAGAATTCATACTGGGAAGAAACCATATCAATGTAATAAATGTGGGAAGACCTTCAGCCAGAACTCTGATCTTATTCAACACGAAAGAATTCATACTGGAGAGAAACCTTTTAAGTGTATTGAATGTAAGAAAGCCTTCAGTAGAAGCTCACTTCTTATTGGACATTGTCGAATTCATACTGGTGAAAAATCATTTGACTGTAATAAGCGTGGGAAAGCCCTCAGTCACATCACAGGTTTTGTTCAACATCAAAGAATTCATACGGGAGAGAAGCCTTATGAATGCAGTGAATGTAGGAAGGCCTTTAGTCACCATTCAGTCTTAATTCAGCATCAGAAAACTCATACTGAACAGAAACCATTTGAATGTAATAAATGTGGAAAAACTTACAGTAGGAGCTCAATCCTTAATGAACATCAAAAAATACATACTGAGGAGAAGCTACATGAATGTAGTAATTGTGGAAAGCTCTTTAATAGAACCTCTCACCTTATCAGACATCAAAAATTTATACTAGAGAAAAGCCACGTGAATGCCACCTATGTGGGAAAGCCTTTCTTTGTCTATCATTTCTTATTAAACATGAGAGAAATCACACTCAAGTCAATTTGTGAATATGATATATAGCAGAGGAAAACTTTGTGGCTCAAAGAGCTCATTTTTTATCAATCCCATAATAAATTGGAAAAAGAAGATCTTTGAGTGCAGTGTCTAAATTTTCTAATCTGATTGGGGTAACATCTGTCACTGTGCTACATTCAATCAGAATTGATGCATACTTATTGGTTAAAAATTATTAGAATGGTTAGTTATATAGCCTTCAGTGGCAGCCAGTGAAACTTAATCTGAAAACTAAGTTCATGGTAAAAGGAGTGTTTCATCTCATTTTCAACCTCTCCTCAACTGAAAATGTTATGAATTGTGTGGAATAATATGACCTTTGTTTTTGCAGACTTTTCCCAGAGAATTCTTTTCTCCCCATGATCAGGAAAATGAAAGGGAAATTTGGAATGAGTCACATATGTTGGGGGAGATGGTGACATCTGAAATTTCTTGGGTCAGAGATTTTCAAACAGTTGTTCTATAGATCACTATAGAGAGAGAGGAAATGAGAAGGCAGTGCTGGAATGGTGAGTCATTCATCATTGTACAAGTAGTAATTAAAGTAGTAATTAGCTCAATGAATGAGTATAGAAGAAGAGCATAGGGATTCAATTCTTTGACTTAGGGATGGTAATGGAGAGTAGTAGGAACAGAAGAGTCATATAGGCATTGAATCAGAATGTAAATACTGGAAAGGAGGCCCCTAGAGATTGTTTGATCCATCCTCCTTAAACATAAGGTAGCTGAAGTTCAAATAAAATCATTGATTTACCAAGTTTCTATAGCTGGAAAAGAGTAGATTCAGGAATAAAACGTAAGGTATGATTACTAAGCCAGTGTTTTTTCCTTTACATGCTGCTTCCCCTAAAGGGGCTCCATGAAGAAGTGGGCGGGTGAGCAGGAGACAAATCTCAGTGTATCCTAAAGACTAAGAATCAGGGATGTGCTGGTAAATGTTTAACAACCAGCTCACAGGGGGCGCTATAGACAACACACTTTTCAAGTTTTAATATTTTCTCTAACACTTTTTAAAGTCTAGACAAAACAATAAATCAGGTCTTGACACATAGCATTTGCTAATTTATACGAACAGTCAGCTCCCTGGAATCAGTTCAAGCAGTCTCCACAACACACCTGCTGAGAATTCACATTATATTGCAGTTAAAGGTGGTTTGTGTTTTGTTTTTTACGATAACTGTTATGAGATAGGTAATGTTAACCTCATTTTGCAGATGAGGAAATTGATAGATGTTTTGAATTGGGAAGAGACTTACCTATATAGCTTGTAAGTATAAGAGCTATAAATTGAGCCCAGGTCTCTTGACCCCAGTTCCAGTACTCTTTCCACACCATTTTGTCCCCTAAGCCCACTTCATTATTTGAAGAGGAGAGGAGGCACAGCTGCTATGGCAAAGACCTTTCATAGGGAAGAAGTCCAGGATAAAGCTGTTAACTGAGGTCTGAAGCCAGCTATATTGGATGCCAATAGATGGGGCTTTTTTTTTAACATCCTTTTTTTTTTAATTTCCAAATTCTCTGTCTCTCAGTAGCCCCTCTATTGAAAAGGTAAGCAATATGATACCCATTTTATGTATGAAGTAATACAAAACATTTCCATATTAACTATGTTGCAAAAATAAAAAAGACAAGAAAATGAAAGTGAAAATATACTTCACTCAGAATTCATCAGTTCTTTCTCAGGAAGTGGATAGAATTTTTTGTCATGGAATTGATCAGATATTGATCAGAGTTGCTAAGTCTTTCATAGTTGGTCATCATTAAAGTATTGCTATTACTATGTACAATGTTCTCCTAGTTCCGCTTACTTCACTTTGTATCCATTCATATGGATCTTCCCTGGTTTTTCTGAAACCATCCCTTACATCATTTCTTACAATGCAATAGCATTCCATCACATTCATATACTATAGCTTGTTCAGCCATTCCTCAGTTGATGGGTATCTCCTCATTTTCCAACTCTGCTTCTACAAAAAGAGCTGCTATAAATATATTTGTACATGTGGGTCCTCCTTTTTCTTTGATCTCTTTGGAATACACACTTAACAGTATGTTAGGTCAAGGGTATGCAGAATTTTATACAAAGCTCCAAATTATTCTCCAGAATGGTTGGATCAATTCACAATTCCACCAGCAGTGCATTAGTATCCCTATTTTTTCATAACCCCTCCAGCATTTGTCATTTTCCTTTTACTGTCACATTAACCAATTTGATAGGTGTGAGGTGGTATCTCAGAGTTGTTTTACTTTGCAGTTTTCTAATAGTGATTTAGAGCATTTTTTCATGTGACTATAATATATATATGTTATATATTATATATTAATACATATTAATATAATATGTACTAGTTTGATTTCTTCTGAAAGCTGAATTTTTATATCGTTTGACCATTTATCAGCTGGGGACTAGTTCTTCATTTTATAAATGTCGCTCAGTTCTTTACATACTTAAGAAATGAAACCTTTATCAGAAACTTGTTACAGAAATTTCCCCCCAGTTTTCTGCCTTCCTTCTAATTTTGGCTGCATTGATTTTGTTTGTGCAAAAGCTTTTTTAATTTAATGTGATCAAAATTATCCATTTTACCTCCTGTGATCCTCTCTATCTCTTGTTTGGTCATAAACTTTTTCCTTATCCATAGATCAGACAAATATTTTTTCCCATACTCTCCTAATTTGCTTTTAATATCACTCCTTTTTGTTATATAGTGTTAGATGTTAGTCTGTCCCTAGTGTCTTCCCGACTGCTTTCCAGTTTTTGTTGAACAGTGAGTTCTTGCCCCAAAAGCTTAGGTCTTTAGGTTTATCAAACACTAGATCACCATGATGATTTACTTCTATATATCGTATACCCAATCTATTCCACTGATCAAATACTCTATTTCTTATCCAACACCAGATTGTTTTGATGATTATTGCTTTATAGTACAGTTTGAAATCTGGTACTGCTAGGCCACTTTCCTTCACTTTTTTTTTTCATTGATTCCGTTGATATTCTTGACCTTTTAATCTTCCAGATTACTTTTGTTATTATTTTTTTCTTGCTCTATAAAATAATTCTTTGGTAGTTTGATGTGGTACTGAATAAATAAATTAATTTAGGTAGAATTGTCATTTTTGTTAAATTGGCTTGACCTACCCATGAGCAATTAATATTTCTGCATTCAGATCTGATTTTGTACAAAATTTTTCTTTGTAATTGTGTTCATATAGTTCCTGAGTGTCTTGGCAAGTAGACTCCCAAGTATTTTATACTGTCTACAGTTATTTAAATGGAATTTCTCTTTCCATCTCATCCTGCTGGATTCTGTTGGTAATATTGCCAATAGATGTTTATCAATGCAAAGAACTTGATGGTGAGTGTATTAAGGAACCGAAGGAATTGTTAGATGGTCAGTTGTGGTACACAGATTAAAGTCCAAAGATCTTGGTATGGAATCTTTAATCAAGGTCATAAAAAAAAATTTATAGATCTTGAGGGCTATATATAAATCTTTCCCCCAAAAGGGACTGTTTTCATTGTCACGTGACAGGTAGGTTAAAAAGGATAAAAACCTCAAAGACATTGACTTCAGAGCACATTGTCAGGAATCTGTTGTACAGATGTGTATAGCAGCTTATTAGGAGCTATAGGAGATCTGAAAGGTAGAAGAGAGGAATTCCTTTGCTATGCATTAGGACCAGATCAGGAGGTGGGTTGATTAGAATGGAAAATTTTGAGTTCAAGGCAGCTCTGGGGAAAATTAGGAAACTGGCATTGTCAGGTAGTAAGGAGAAGAGCTAGGAAAGGGGAGGGGGTCCTGTGATGTAAAGAAGTCTTTGAGGATAGTATTTAAAGAAACAGGAAGCAAGGGTAACCCCAGCTCATCTCCCTTTCCTCATTCTCACAGCCCCTAATTCCTATGGTTTGGCTCCCTTCTTCCTTTAGGGGTCTTGGAAATGGACAGCTGCTGCAGGGCAGGGCAGGGAGAAGGTGAAGAAGGATCTTTACTGGAGTCTCCACTGTGTTAATCTATGTGGGGTGATGGAAGAAGCACTCAACAGGAAGTCAAGAGACCTACATTCTAATGCTGATGTTGCCATAAACTCCCTGAGGGAGCTTGATCAAGTACATCCCTTTGGGGCTTATTTCCTTATCAATTAACATAAAGGGAGAAGTTGTGGAAACTAGCAATAGAAGGGGAGAGCACAGTGAACTGAATTTACCCTAATGTGAATAAGATGACAAGAAAACCTAGCTGGGTTCTAAAGCTATTGTCATGGCAGAAATAAAGTGAATAATACAGCCAAGCTACAGATGAGCAGGTCAGAAAAGTGATCACTGACAGTTATAATTAGCAAAAATATGACTAATGCATACAAACTAGCAAGTACCTTTAAGAGTAGTTAGCAAGGTTTGGCTACACTTGAGTATAGCCAGCTATTGGCTGGCAAATAACTATTTATTCAGATCACCATTTGAATATTTACTGATGATTCATAGAATCTCAGAATTGATCATCTAGTCTGTAAGCCAGAATCCTTTCTACAATGGGGAATGGTCAACCAGGATACTTTTGTTGTTGTTTTTTTTTTCTCAATTTATTTATTTTTAGTTTTCAACATTTCAGCATTTCAACTTCCACAAGATTTTGAGTTCCAAATTTTATCCCATCTCATCCCTCCCCCCACCTCAAGACAGCATGCATTCTGAATACCCTTTCCCTTAATCTGCCCTCCCTTCTATCTCCCCTCCCCCTTCTCTTATCCCCTTCCTGTAGGGCAGGATAGATTTCTATACCCCATTGCCTGTATATCTTATTTCCCAATTGCATGTGAAAACAATTTTTAACATTTGTTTTTAAAACTTTGGGTTCCAAATTTTCTCCCTTCCTCCCTCCCCACCCACCCTCATTGAGAAGGCAAGCAGCTCGATACAGGTTGTACATGTGTAGTCATGCAAAACACTTCCATAGTAGTCATGTTGTGGAAAACTAACTATATTTCCCTTCATCCTATCCCACCCCTCCACCTCATTTATTCTATTCTCTCTTTTGACCCTGTCCC